GGTTAATTTTTCCAAGCTTAATAAATACACGCAAACGGCTAATACTGGTGCTAGAAAATATATAATATATATATATATATTATTTTTCCATCTTTAATTTTAATTTGTCAATGGAAAAATAATTATAATCATTAAATAGTTTTAATTAAATAATTCAAAATACATTATTAAAGTAATTGGTACGACAATGATATGTACAGTCGACTGCAGTTATAATGTTGATTTTGAATCCACGCTTTATACTTTGACTATAGCATTCTTCTTGTTTTGGTATTTTCTTTTACCATTCATTAACAACTATTTAGGGTCGATCACCTTTGTCTTACACCTCCATAAAGCTCTGTCCCACTACAGGGGCGTGTTTACAAAGGAAGGAGGATATATTGGGAATAAATCCCCCCTTGAATTTTTTCTTATTGATATAGATATAATATTGTTTTGTATATTTGTGAATTTATGATGATACAAGATAATATTACAGAAATACAAAATAAAATTATAGAAATTACTACACTTTATAATGATATAGTATAGAATATTGATAAATAAAACATTTGAAAATGTTATGGACAATGCTTATAAGTCATAACCATAGTCCATACATTGCTAAGTGTTAAATAAAATTGAAAACGTTTCATATCATAATATATCGTCAAATATCATTATTTTCAATAGGTAACCATTAACCATCTGGCTGTAACCGCAATAACCATGCTCAGTGATGCTCCTAATAATAAGCGTTACGGATTGCTATTTGAAAGCAAAAACTTATGGATCTGTAGTAATGGATAAACATTATACAATACATATTTGAATATTCAACGACTCGTTTTGTACTTTCATGTTATGATGCATCAAAGATTCAAAACGTATTGTCATTTGTAACGGGCGATGGCATGTACTATAATAATTAATAGGTATGTAAATTATAAATTTTAACAAATAGATATTGTAATACCTATACCTAATTATAATATACAAAATATAATATCTAGTAGATATAAATATGTATTTTTGTTTAACGTTTTAAATAATACTAATAATATAACAGAGTAGGTATACAAGATACATCACAATTAAACTAAAACACTAAAATACTATAGTTATATAAGTTATTTTTATTGTTTATTATTGCATTACCTACTTTATTTTTATCTCAGCTTAACTCACTAATCACTTTAGTCATAAAATGCACTTGCGACTAATGCACTAGGTACTCGGACGGTTGTCATTAAATTATGGTTTCCTATCTATGTTTAAGGTTCGACTGTTCGAAGCTAACCATTCAAGACAAACTTTTATTGTGATTTTTGTCTAAATTTAAAAAGTAACTGGTTTCGTGATTTTATTATTATTATTTATGTGTACATTGTATAAAGTAGTTCATAAATAAACTAGCTAGTAAAGTAGTAACATTCTACTTAACAGTTAATATATTTACTCTACATAGATACTTTCATTTATCAATATTTTTTGTTAAAAGAAAACAGTTTTATAAATACATGCGAGTATTCGCTGATTATAATATAACCCTCGTCATTTAAAAAAAAAACAGTGGTGATTATGATGAATTTATAAATCCCTCGAGGAAATTATATATTTGCCAAAGTTGGTATATCGTATATCCCCCTTTGACAAAATCCTTAGCCATCACTATTTCCACACTAGATACTTAATTACTAACACCACATACCTACTTAGTAGGTACTTTCGTATTATTCTCTATTTCAGGGGTCCGGAACCTTTTTGTGTAAATGAACCATTTTTTCAAATAATTGCAAAATCATGATTTTAAAAGAGTCGATATGGCTTTTTTTTTAAAAAAAAAAACATATCATAGAACAAAAAATGACTAATTTATTTCACTAACTTCATCAAGAATTACCTATTGATAAACATTAATACCATTATAATATAAATTTTAAATTAAAAAAAAAAAAACTTTGTTTCATCAATACATTATAATTTATAACAATGTTATTATAATTTTTGATACAAATATGACATATTATTCAACTAGACACAATAACAAAAGAAAACAAAAACTTATCTATTTAATTAGCGTTCATTAATTTTTATTTTACATGTCTCGGTATTAATGCCCATACTTCAAAGAGCCGCTGGTTCCAGACCCCTGCTCTATTCTATTTTTCCGTCTATCTTTGATCTTCCTCTCCTTTTATACTTATACGTACCAACAATATACTTTTTTCTTCTTGTTTTTCTTTATCTCTCACTTTACAACTTATCAAAAAGCCTTACCACTATTTCAAAACCCCTCCACTATTTTCTATCTAGAGATACTTATATTCATCCTAATTTATTATATCCACCACATATGTAATTATTCCATATACGCCATTACTTATAATTTATTTATGCCTCTGTAACTATTACAGTTTAACAGTAACTTTGACACGGTACGCAACGGTCGTCAGTACAAAGTACAGACACCGCAGCGACCGGTCTTCACTATCACCACCACCAACACGGGTAAAAATCACGATATTGTCAACTCTCCCACTAACGCCGTAAAGGCCTAGGCGGGACGGGAAGACAAGTTGTGCGAGACGAGTACCGGTCCCCGCAACGATGATCACTTTTTCTTCCACACCCGAAGTTGTTACTATAACCATCGCCGATTTGCTTTTTGAACTAACACCACCGCCAGAACACTAGATAACTTCCGCACTATTATACGGCCAATACAGCGCAATATTATTATTATCATCATCATTATTATTGTAATCAGGGGCGTGCCCAGGATTTCTTTTTGAAGATGGTTTAATTTAACCTTAAAGTTTTAAAGTTAAACCTCAAACTTAGAACAATATATCATTCAAATAAATGTAAGTATATACTGTATTAATAAAAAAAAATTTAATTAAAATTAATAAATTAGTTACCTATAAAATAAAGTCTACGAATATAAAGTACGCAGAAATGTACTAAAGAGAATAAAACCCAAAGGTCGTCAAATATTGTATTATTTTTTATTAATTATTATATTATCTGATTTTCCCATAATATTATGTTAATGTATATTTTTTATTTTGTAAATATCATTAAGTTGAAAAAAATAAGCCAGTCAATTTTGGGGTGGTTTGAACCCCCAAAACCACCTCTTCGGCACGCCCCTGATTGTAATTGTGTAATTATTGTTATTGATTGTAATATAAATTAATCGTTAAAGTGACGCATTCGGTGGTTCTTCTATTTTATTTGTGTTGGTTTTAATTTGTTGGTACAAACAAATCCTCAACGACCGCCGAAGCCGCGTCAACTTTTCACCTTATATTATGCATAATGTTAATAATGCTTTAATAATTGCATTACTCCAGCTATTAGCTATTTTATATTTTACATATCAAATAGGTACCTAACAAGTTATAATCCTGCACCGGCTGCACCGCTATTATATTTTATCAATTCTGCATTTATTTCGCCACCAGGATATTTTTACTCTACGCTTTAAATTTCTTACTTATAACTCGAAAGTTTCCATACATATACATAGCAGGCTCTCGAAATACTCTTTCTATTCGTCTGTTATGTTTCTTGGTTTCATTTAAACAATATGTCAGTGTGACAGTGTCATTTCTATCTCTGATAATTTATAATTTTGGACAAAACTATTTATCCTACTAGTAAAGTTTTAAGTAGCTAGCACAGAGATACCTACCTTTTTTCTACATGGCCATATGTAAAGTAAGGTTAGACTAAGTTAAAATTCTTTGTTTTCTTCGTCTTCTCAACGTTTATCATTCAATACCTCATAAGTAATTAGGTTTATTGGATTTCAGTTTGCTAAATAATTTTTTTGTGTTTTCCATTTATGTTCATTAGTGTTGTATTTGTCTTATAACCATTACTCTTATCATCAAACAATTTTTGTTTCCTGCATTTGACTATAATATAATATTTTTCACTGCTTGGTTAAGGCATAACAACTTTTTTCTAAAGATTAAGAAATTTATTTTAATTTTCTGATCTTGATACATTATTGAAAAAGATGCTGTCATTAATGTCATTGTGATAACAGGCTAATACAAGATGTTTAATTATTACAAAAGTGAAAACTGTACTTTCATAAAAACAAAAATATGCTTGACAGTGTGATTGTAGCTGCCTATCACAAAAGTTATAGTGCAGCTAAATGGACTCTACACAAAAAATAACTAAAGCTTTTACAATCAGAATATTATTGTTTTATACCCTAATGGATATATCCAAATATAATATCATAAATCAAATTAGTTTAAAATAGCAAATTTTAAATAATTATTTTATTTATTAGTATAACAAATTTTATATGAATGGAATAAAAATAAATTTAATAATTGTAAAAATATAGTGTTAGTTGCCAATTTGCTATAATTTAAATTTCTGTCTATTCGAATATAAATGTTATTAAAGTAATTCAAAATAATTTTAAAACAAAACACATAGCATAATTCGTGTAAGGTTTAAGCAATTAAACTTTATAAAAAAAATGTTTATTTAAAAATATATTTATCCAATGAATATATAAATATAAAATATATAGAAAATATTAAAGAATCAATTAAGTATAAAATAATAACAGCAAACAACTTTGATTACAATGAGTTTAAACTATTGCAATTAATTAAGAATTTTTACTTATACTAAAAAAATATTAGATACCAACCTATTTTTTATATTTTGATACATTAAAAGTTGTATTTTTTTTTTTATATTAAAATTTAAAAATTAGTTATAGAGAAAACTTTAAAATTAAATTTTAATTTAGAATTTAAAACAAATCACTTTAAAAATAAAATCTAAATTAATTAACATACAAAATAATGTTTTTAGACAATATTAATAAAAGTTTAGGTAATTTAGTACTTAAAAATAGTAAATTAAGTAATGTAATTGTATAATATTTTTTATATAAAATAAAGTATATGAAAATAAAACAATTTCTTAAGATGCTCTCTTTAATTATTTCTTCAACAATAATAAGTATTTATTGAAGTAAAAATAATTAACATGAGATTTTAATAAGCTATACATGGAATGTAACATAACTTGTTGCAAAATAAGTTATGTTAATAAACTTTAAGGTTTATAAACTAAAATCTTAAAAAATAACAACGTGTTATAAAGAGTACTTCATGAAGAAAATTTCTCACATTACTAATATTAAAACTGCTTATTTATTTTACTAAATCAAAGAAAATATCAAATCAGTAACTTATTTATTTTTAGGATTCCATTTCATTCGTTGGGTATTTTTTTTTGGAGTTTGTTGATTTATCTGAGGTCTTATATCAAGTAATGAAGGTGTTTGTTGATTTTGAAATTGAGAATATTGTGACATAGAATTAAAATTTGGAAATGCAGGATTACCTATATTATGTCTACCATAATATCCTGTTGAAGAATCAGGTATATTTATCTGGTGTTGATGTGTATTATTATTAGTCAAGATATGTTGATATAACTGGTGGGTATATTGATTTATTTGAGATTGTGTTTGAACATTTCTAAGGTTTTCAAATGTCAAAGTATTAGAGTTATTAAAATATGTTGGTTCTTCAGCAGAAGAAATATTTAAAAACTTTGTCATTTTAAAATTCATTTCATTGATTGCTGCAGTTGTGTTTTGAAGGGTTTTATTTTGATGATTTCTTGAGGATTTATCATATGTTCTATTTGGTCCTTTATTTGCTTCAGGCATTTTGGGAAATACTTTACGACTATTTTGCAAATGTTTTAACTTACGGCTTCTAGTATTATGTTTAACAAAAACTTTTTCAACATCACTCTCATCATCTGATGAACCAGTTCCACTTTGATATGATGTATAATTTGATAACGAAGATTTAGCAGAAGAATCAATGATTAGCTTGGCTTTCAAAGATGAATCAACATCTTTTATTTGTAAGTTACAAGTTTCCATGATTTTAGTTAACATTTTTAAAAAGTACAACATATCATCAGGAGCAATGCTACTTGAATTTGTAGCCAATCTAATTTCATTACAAATAAGTTCTGCTAAGTGAAACTTCTTTGAACCAAATGATGAAAAAATGTTGCTATAACAAATAAAAATTAAATAATAAGAAAATCAGCAAACATTTACAAATTAATATTAAATGGAATCCAAAATTAAAATATTATAAAAGATATTTTTTATTTGCATTATAGATAATATATTTTTAACATAAAATACAGACATTTTATTAAGAAAATTTTTTTTAGTGAATAATTTATTAATTGTTAAAAATAAAATATATATAATACAATTAAAAATACTTAAAATTTTAAATATTATATTTACTTAAAATCAATAAATTAAAATAATTAAAAAAATTACCGTAATTATATAATTATTAGCAATTCCTGGTGTTTCTATCAACTTAATAAATTCTTCAACACCAGATCTTAAGTTGTTTGTGAATAATATCAAATACGAACACAATTGAGCTACAATTTTTGATTTATCAAGTCCATCATATTTAGGAATTAAATTAGTGAGAAAAGGAATGGGATCTTCTCCATTTTTTTGTTTTTTTACTATGAATCCTAAATCATTTCCTAATCTTGGTGTTCTATTTTTCCGTGATGGATATTCATGTTTAGTTTTAGTTGTTTTTGGTTTCTGTTTTTTAGACTAAATAAAAAAAATATATATATTTACCTAAAGTATTATATGAATATTATTTCTAAATATATCTTACAATATCTTCATAAGCTTCAACTGTTTTTTTGATAGCTTTTAAAACAGTAACATCATTTGGTGCCATTTCATAGGCTTTAGTCAAATATTGTTTTCCCAAATTAAAATCACGGACCATAATTGGAAGAGTCATTATTACTTTAGCACATTTAACTACCAAATGAGGATCTTTTGGTTCCATGCTTATTATAGCTCTAAAATAACAAAATAAATAATCATATTAAAAAATTAAAAGAAAACCAACAACCTCTTAAGTACTTTTATACTAGATATAAATGCAATTTTTAACTATCATGGAAATAAATAGTCTTCACTTATCAAATAGATATATTATATCAACATTAGTGTATAGGTGAATAATTATACATTCTATGATACTAAGTATAATTTATTATTTTACATACTTAATCATTTGAACAATTGTTTTATTTGCCTGCAGATTTTTTTCAATCCAAGATTTATCACGATTATTTTTATTATCATGATAATATCGAATTGCAGTATCTCTATCTAATATCATTCTATGGTAGTTGAAAACAGTATTATTTCCATCAGACAACATAATTGCATGCTGAATAGCATTTCTTTCATTTTCTGTTGGATTTGATTTATGAGAATATAAAAATTTCCTTTGCGCTGCCAAAGCAAGTGAATAAATATAAAACCACTGTGAAGTATTAGGATCTAAATCACATGCTTTTCTTGCACTGTCACAAGCTCTTTTAAAAATGTGAGAACTTCCACCATATTCAGTAAATACAGCTGCACGTATTGCATGTACAGTAGCTTTTGATTTAGAATCCATATTATCCAATAGTATAATGTCATCTAACAACTGAAAAATTAAGAATTTTAAAAATGATAGATGTACTGTGATAAAGATTGGTATGTTCATTTTGCATTAATACATATTTATTATATAACAGACTGATAGAAATATTAGTTAAAATTAAAATATATTCAATAAAATTTGCTTACAAATAGTTAAACCAGGAGTTTAAACCATATCATAAAGTACGGTTCTTAAATCAAACTCCATGAAAACTATTAAAACATAAATCTCAGCAAATTCTTTTGAAAATATTTTAAAAACTGAGACATAAACAGTAGAGCGTCAATTATCCGCATTAATCGGGACTGAGGGGGAATAATTGATTTATGTGAATAATTAAATAACATTAAAAATTTTAAAATATTGTTCATTATTCATATTTTTATTATTGATGTATCATTTAAAGTATAAATGAACGTAGTATTGATTGAAATTTTAAGATAATGCACAAACGTCAAACATATTATCTACATTAGAGTAAGCCAAAGTATATTATAAAATAATATTGTATGTTTTATTATATACATAATAACAAATGATAAAAATTAATTAAATTAAACTAAAAATAAATTTGTACAAAAATGTTGTAACTGATAATTGATGTTCTACTTTATTTTAATAATACTACATGCTTTAATATTTTAGACAAAATATAAAATATAACTACGACTTAAGAAATGATTATAATATATTACAAACATATAATAAAAAATAATAACAATGGCACACTAATATTACCATATGACACAGCTACACATAATTATAACTCATGCATGGAAAGATAAAACATCCAATTCTATATAGCAGGGATGGGCAACTCAAAGTTACTAAAGGGCCAATTTTTAGAAATTTAAAATATAGCGGGCCAGAACATAGAAAGCAAAAAAAAAAGTCATTCAAATTATATATTTTGAATAGCATTTATTTTGTATATAATGAAATAGGACATAGGTTAAAATTGTATACCTATACCTAATGCAATTTGAAAATGTAGCGCGGGCCAGATAAATAAGGTTAGCGAGTCACCAGTTGCCCACCACTGCTATATAGTATAGCGAGGAAATGCACTAATCAATTTACATATTACCAAGAAAATTTCTAGAGGTAAAAGAAAGAGAGTATAGAAATCTCTGAGTAACTTATTCAAATATGATTTACCAGAAGTTCAGAACTATAAAAAACACCTTTAAGACATTTAGCCTTTTAAATTATGTATTTAAGTCAGAAAATATTTAACGATTTATTAAATAATGAAATATTTCTGACTTGAATTATTTTTAAACTATGAACTACATCCTTTTCGATCAATAATTGTTTATAAGTATGTAGGGCATATTAAAATAGTACTAAGTGCATTTGTTCATATTAACAGCTTTAATCGTAAAGTTTTGTCAAATATTTTTTTTTTAATAGTGTATAAATTAACAGGGGTTTGTTGAAATTGGTGTTATAGAAAAGATTTTTAATTTTGAAGAACAAGAATTAATATTTTTATAATTCTAAAAAACAAAACTGAAAACAATCATAAAGGTTCAAACCCCTAGTTTCAACACTTGTTGCATAGTGCATAATATATTATAGTAAAACCTCAATTATCCAAACTAATTAGGACTACACTGAGTTCAGACAAGCAAAATTTTGAATAATATAAATTAAAAAAGTCAGTTTTTAAGAAACTGACTAATTATATACATAATATAAAAATAATATAGATGTCCAGTATACAATATTTATTGATAAACTAGTCACACATGAATGTCATTAAGATAAACATTATTATAATATGTATATGTACATATTATTGTGTACTAGGTTTCTATTATTATGTATTGAGTTACATGTTTGGATACGTGAATTGAAATAAAATAATGTTAGGATAACAGAGGGTTCATATAATGGAGGTTTGGATAATCAAGGTTCTACTGTATGTAGTTTTTCTATCAATATTGTTAAATAAAAATGGCTGTAAAGTAATATAAGAACAAAGTCTTGTATACAATTAAATTGTATGAAGTTGAACATATTTTAGAATTAATTATATTTTTTTTAAAGAATAATGTAATTTAACTTTACTGCCTATTTATTATTACAACATAATAAGAAATATATATATATATATTTAATAACAAATGAAAATTAATTATCAAAATTAAATATACATTCTTAATATAAAAAATGAAAAATAACATACCCATTTACACTCTCCAGTAAGATTTGTAGCAAATAACATATGAATAAAAGTTGCCTTTAAAACATATTGAAGACCAACATTAATAGATAAATAAAATTCATCAGTACCTTTATCTAGTTCTTCAAGCCATTTCCCAATTTCTAATATTTTCAATTGTCCTAATTCGGACTCATCTTTGTGAAAAAATTCATAACCAATAATTAAATTACCTACATACCTAAACACAAAGATCAAAATTAAATTTTTAAGTATAAACTAGTATTTTATTTATCATATTATATATATATATTTTTTTTCAATTGGGAATATTATTTATAGTTAATTGTATATTTATCATACCAACATACAAACCAAGCCTTAAACTAATTTATGTACATAATGCAAATAAAGAGTATAATTAGTAGAAGGTAAAATTTTGTTTCTAATATTATCTATTTACCTTTCAAATGTAAACTCGAATGAGGATATATCCAAGTTGTAATCTCCGTATTTATTTTGTATCAATAAAATTATATTTTTTTTGTTATTAGATTTTATATTCCACGTAAATAAACACTGAAGATTGTTGATTTTATTAGCAGTGTTGTTTTTATCAACATTTTTAACTGTTTCAAATTCTAGCTGGTTTTCTTCAGTATAACTAACTTCACTTTTAGAATCGTCAAAATCGTCAACTGAAGCACTATCATTAGAATATTCTTGATGAGTATCAGTAATAGGCACTGACTCGATATTATCAATATTATCTAATGACACAGAACAACTAATACCATTATCTAAAATTTCTTTTAAGTCAGTGTCAATTTCATTCAACGAAATAAGCATGTCTTTAACTTCTTCTTTAGTGATTAAAACTGGTTGACAATCTATAGGTTTCTTTTGAAGTTTTTTATCAGATTTATTAAAAAGCGATTTAAACATTGAAGAAAACATAATAAAACCTATACAAAACAAAAAGCATGTTTAGTTAAATATTATTCTTATACAAAATAATTGAATAATTTTGGTTGTTACTTACGATTGTAAAGGTATAACTATCAGCAGATTTAAATCGAATTTTCTCTTAAGCTATTATTTATAGAAGACAAGTTAAAATTCTCAATACTTGAACATTGGTAAATTTTCAAACATTTCTAAATTTAAATGAATAAAATACATGTAAGTATAACATATTATGAATTTACAGTATTTAAGAAATTTGGATGAGTTTTGATTAGTGATTACCTACCTACGTATTATAACAATAATTATAACTATAACTAATGATTAAATAATTATGAATATCGAATACAATATATTTTCGTGCCTTGCCATTCGTCAATCAAGAACCAATCAAGACCTATTTAAGAAGTAGTAAATACCTATTAATTATTTAATGGTGATAAAGTTCTCAATGTTCTCATTGATAATTGTAAATTCATTAAAAATGTAAATAAATAATTACTAATAAGTATCAAGTAATGGATTTATTCTATTAAGGTAATAAATTAAGCATCTACGGACGTCTAGTATAATGGCAAGGGCCAAAGGGCTTAATACAATCACAATGTACTTATAAATAATTTACACAATTTGTCTAAATACAACCGTTCTAATCACTCAGGATCTAAAATGATGATTTTTATTGTTTTTAAACGATTTTATATTTTATAATTAAACATATTTTATGTGTTTTATTTAATATATATATATATATTTAAAATTGAATAACCGTAGATACCTACTTTACGAAGAGTTCACTAAATATTTATGCTAATCTCTTAGATAAGATAGAATTCGTAGATTATACTGCAGAGGACGCGCACTGATGACTAAAATTGCAAATATGTTGTCATTATACATAAAAAAAATATAGTGAACTAGATATAGAATAGCTGTGCGAGTATAATTTGAATTTGGCTGATCACAAATCAGTAATCACTGATCAGAGATGAATGGAAAACACCAAGTGATCAAGTGAACGATTGGCAGTTTGCTGTGTTAGCAGTTAATAGTTATGCGCCATAGAATAATATTATCACAGAATAAATGAAATTTGAAATTTCATTTCATGATCAGCTATAGTGATATTATTCTGTGGTTTGCGCTATCTATTATTTGATAAGCGTACGGCGGACCGTGGCTTAAGTCATGCAGTGGACATTTTGTACTGTGATTTTAACTGATAATTGATAAAAAAAAAGAAGATATTAGATTATTCAAAACTTTAGTTTAACCACTTTAACCGACAAAATATTCTGTGCTTTAACCGTGCGCTGTCACCACTCACCAATATCACGATCTATTGTTAATCGCAATTCGCAATAGCCATAGCTTGTTGATATTTGAGAGTATGTACTATGTAAGTATTCAGTATTGTAAGTAATTATATAGTACCACAATAGTACACCACTACACTATTAATCGTTTTAAATCCACGAAGTTGAATTCGAAAATGTTTAAAAATGTGTATGTACCTAACCTGTAAACATTAGAAAAATAAAACAATTATTAGGTAATTACCTAATAATAATTATTAAATATTAATAACTAATGAAGCGGCACGCGGCACGCCAGCATTTATTCCTACTGCAGCAGATATCGTTAAGAAAAAGTGGTCTTCTAGTTAAAGGATTTTAGAATTAAATGCTAATCATGAGTAGGAAGAGTTTAAGGCGTTTGTCTTTAAAATAATACACTTTGGGGCAGACCTTTGGTTCTCCCAAAGCAAACGATATTTGACCGACCAAATCATGTGCCTATCAACTGACTCTGATTTTAGAAGGGCAGTATGAGATTAATCCAACCCATTCCTCTACAGATGTTCCTTAAAATATAGTCATTGACCTCATTTATTTGATTTTAGGTATTAACGCTGAAGTAATACTGGCTAGAACCACTTCAAGATGCAAGTCATTCAAAATCAAAATATTCTAAAAAATTAAAAATTAGTAATATTACCTATTGGTTATGATTTTAAGAATACTATAGATACATAAATAGATATAATTTTTTATTTTTTTTTAAGTACCTATTTGTAGTTTAAATGCGAGTGTAACTCAAATTTTGTATTTTTTTATTTCGCATAACTATTTAACAGTAATTTTGAAAACTTGATTTGTAAAAAAAAACATACATTATTTCATCAAAACTTTTATGTGATAAATCGATAAAAATATTAAATCATTATTACAATAATATAAGTACAAAATAAAATAAATTGAAAATAGATTTTCTGTTTACAAAACATTTAGATGATGTTATCCCAAAAAGCAAGATAGTAATAGTGTACAGCAAGTTAAAATATAGTCCATTATAATATTATGATTTAAAATATTTTCAGTTTACAAAGTATATCATAAAATAATAATTCAAAGTTAAAATACAATTGATATGCAACATAAAATAAACAAAATCCTTAAATAATTTATATATCTCAAAAAAACACTTATGAAAATAGATAAATCGATATTAATTATCTTAGTACATATATATAAATATAAGAACTAAAAATACATTTTATCACCAATTTTTTTTATTAGTTGGTCCAAATAAATCATTCAGTTTAATCCAAGCTTTAAACTCGTGTAGTCATGTGATAGTAATATCTACTTTTCCAAAGCCTCATCTTGCTGCTATAAATATTTGCAAGATGGGGATATCAAAGTTTGACAGATCTAGCAACATTGGCCAAAATCTAAGAAATTTCAGGCGGCATTGTGGTCTAATTTTCTAATTAACCTACCAGGGGTATACCAGATCAGTGTCATAACTCTACTGGGCATTCACTCAATACTAGATCTAGAAGACTTGATATGTAGAAATACACAAATAAGATGTATGATATCAAAGTAAAGATACAAACACTGGACTTCACTTGCTTATTTTCTTTAGTGTGCTTATTAATACCTGAAGATGTTTTATAATTATTTTTAATTTTTAATTTAACCAATTAATTTAACAATTTGTAAATTATTTTCTTACAGTGAAAAATATTGAACAATACTACAAAAGTAAACTTTTTTCGTAATTATTGTCATAACTGAATATACTTAAAATTATAGTAATAAAATGAAAAATAAAATAAAATAACTTAAAACTTAGTATTGAAACTGTTACAAACATAATTTTTTGATGAAAAACCATTGAATATTTTAATAAAAAAAAAAAATAATAACAAAAAACAGAAATAAGCTGAAACTATTATTTTTTAAAATTTGATTTAATAGAACTTGTTTTTGGCTTAGAATTTGAATCTTGTGGACCTTTTTGAGGTCTTAAACTGAGTAATTGTGGTATATTTGGAGAATTTTGAAGTAAATTTGATGATGATGGCAAGCTAAAATTTGCATGATTTTGATTAAAATAGCTATTAAGCTCACCAGATGATACATTAGGTGAATTAAAACGTGACTGTGTGGTAGCTAAAATGTTTTGATAAAACTGTTGGGTATAACGATGTATTTCTGAATTCTTTTCTAAACTTTTTCCCAAATTCTCCATAGTCAAAACTTTAGATTTACTGTCAAATCCATTACCATTTCCACCTTTGGAAGAATTTAAAACTTTCTCCATTTTAACTTTCATTTGATTCACATCATATGCTTTTGGACGTGGTTTATTATTTTCTGCTTTTTTTGATGTATTTTTATTTTTTTTAGGGTCGTCATCTGTAATTTTTGCCAATTTATTCGATTTAACACTGTTTGTAAATACTTTAGGACCTTTCTTTTGCAAGTGTTTTGCTTTATGTTTTTGTTTTGTAATATTTTTATCAATATTTTCACCATCTGAAAATTCAGTTTCACTTGGCACTGATGTACTTGAAAATTTAGATTTAACATTTAAATTAACAATGAGTTTGCTCTTCATGGACGAGTCAACATCTTTTATTTTTAGATTACATGTTTCCATGATTTTAGCTAACATTTTATAATAATACAGCATATCGTCAGGAGAAGTTCCATTTAAATTTGTAGCTAATCTAATTTCATTAGAAATAAGCTCTGATAAATTAAATCGCTTTGAACCAAATAATGAAGTATGTTTCTGAAACAAATAAAATACTAATAAGAAGTTATATAACCAAATAGGACCTTGCACCATACAAGTATTAGTCATACTGTAGGTTGAAGTAATTTTTCCAAAAATAAGTTGTGTATATTATAAAATAATAATTATAGTATAACATTATAACCGACTGTTATGTAGGGTAAGGTTGGCAATATCACCAACCTATACCTCCGACGCCGCACTGTTTGTGTGTGTGAGTAGTTTTGTTTTTTACTTATGTATTATGTTTTTAATATTCTTATGCAAAATAAAGTTTTCTTTTATATTTTTATGAGTTTGATTTATATTAACTAATAATGGGTCGGCGTAAAAGTAACGCCGCCTACAGTTAGAAAATTAAATTTGAAGTCAATACTTTTATACCATAGAATAGTATAAAAAGAATCTTGATATTAATAGCTTAAAATTAAACAAAATATTTTAATAATTAATGTAATAGAGAAATTTACTACAATAAATATTTTATAAATCATAAAAAAAAAAATAATATTTTATTTATTAAAATATATTCATAATAATATATCCAATTTTATTGAAATTTGAACTTCTTATGCTCACAAAAAATTTATGTGGTGTTACACTAACCTTTTTTTAAATTCTGGTAAAAAAAAAATATAAAGAATTGTATATTCAATTTTTAAGTCTTAAGTATTAAAATTATGAATTTCATAAATTTCTAACAAAAAATTAAATTACAAATATTTTTGAATTTTTGTACAAATTTGATATAATTTACTACTAGAAACCATCTCTAATGCTTCATGCTCAAAAAAGCATTTTTCATTACTACAATCAGAAGTTAAAATAAGTTAAATTAAAATAATTAATATTTTATTATTACATGATCAATTGATTTTTAATTAGTTATTAATAATAATAAAATATTTTAGATGAATAATTTCCTAATTATGTAGATAGAAAACCATATTTTACACAATGTCAAAATTACTTTATTTTTAAAAATATTTAAGAAAAATACTTACTGTAATTATATCATTATTAGTAGTTCCTGGTAATTCAATCAACTTATTAAACTCTTCGACACCAGATCTTAAGTTGTTTGTGAATAATATTGTATAAGAACATAGCTGAGCTATAATTTTTGACTTATCTAGTCCATCATATTTAGGAATTAAATTAGTGAGGTAAGGAATAGGATCTTCTCCATTTTTTTGTTTTTTTACTATAAATTCAAAATCAATTTCTAATTTTGATTTTTTTTTCTTCAACGGTGGTAGTTGATTTTGTTTTGTTTCGTTATTTCTAAGTTTCTGTGTTTTAGACTAAAAAACAAAATTATGACAAATAAAAAAATGTTATGAATATTATTTCTGAATATATCTTACAATATCTTTATAAGCTTGAACTGTGTTTTCAATTGCTCGTAAAACAGCTGCATCACTTGGTGCCATTTCAAAGGCTTTTGTTAAGTATTGTTTTGCTAAATTAAAATCACGAACCATAGTTGGAAGAGTCATTATTACTTTAGCACATTTAACTACCAAGAGAGGGTCTTTTGGATCCATATGTATTAAGGTTCTATAAAAAATTATAAAATTTTACTTATTAGTTATAATTATGATATTTAAAAATAAAGTTTAATGCTAGATTTAAAATTGTATTTTTCAAAGATGGACTTAAATATTTTTATGAATAATTATTTCATATTTTATTTTTATTATGAAGTAAATAATAGTTTCTATTTATAATTATACTATAAACAATAATGTTTAATGACAATACGCAAAAATCATTCAAATTAATAGAAAATACTTAAACTTAATTTTATAAATAATAAATCTTTATGAATTTACATACTCAATCATATTAATAATTTTTTTGTTGTCTTGAAAATTGTTTTTGTTCAAAAACTTATCATTTTTATTTTTATTGTTATGATAATTTCCAACTGTAGTTTCTCTAAATAGTACCATTTCATGGTATTTGAAAAGTGTATTTATTCCATTAAATAAAGTATTTGCTTGATTAATTGCATTAATTTCTTTTTCAGTTGGAATTGATCTATATGGTTGTAAGAATTGTCTTTGAGCTGCCAATGCAAGTGAATGAATATAAAACCAATAAGAAGTTTTGGGATCTAAATCACATGCTTTCTTTGCCATCTCACAAGCTTTTTTTAAATAGTTTAGATTTCCACCATATTCAATTAATACAGCTGCACGTATTGCATGTACAGATGCCCTTGATTTGGAATCCATTATGGAAAATAATACAATATCATCCAATAACTGAAAAAATATTAAAACAGATACTTTGGCTATTATGCGATCATATGTTAATTAAGTACATTTTTTCAAATTAAAATGTATAATATAGCAATTTTCAACCTCGTGGTTACCTAATTATTATATAGGGTCATAACCACATATTTCCTATTTATGATCATAAGAAAAATATTTTTAGATGTTACAAAAATATTGAATATTTTATTTGAGGGTTGTAATTGGAAAGGTTTAAGACCAATTTTATAGAGAATGAATATTTTTTTTTATAATTTAAACTTTATCAAATATTTAAATATTGTAATATTTTTAGTGTATTTTTTATTACATTATATAACTAGGAATCTACCAATAACATATTTTACCAATATCAAATACTTCAATATATGCTAATATAAATCGTAAGCCAATATTAAAACAAAACAATTACCAAAAATCAATATCAACTAATTATTAATTGCTGATAAACCTAAAAAACACATTTTTAATTATGCAGGTTTTTGTAAATATTTTAAAAAAAAGATTGTTTGTAAGAATCAGTTTTTTATTTGTATTTAAAAGCAATCTAAAGTAGATAAACTAATTAAATTATCAGCAACAATGAGTTTAATCTGAATAGTACAAGTCAGGAAAATTGAGTATTCCTTTTATATAATTAGGATGTAGAGGTTTATTTAAGATGTGCTAGAGCTGCGTTTCTCAAACTGTGGGTTGCAACCCATCGATAGGTCGTCAGTCAATTTTTTTGAATTATGCAGATTCCAAGAAATATATGATAAATTAATATTAAATATATTATTATGTTACATTGTTATTATTAAAAGTACATTTGTAAAAATATGTTGATTATAAACCTATACAATGATAAATATAATGATTTAAACTTAATAAAGTACCTAATTAAAAAATTTTGTTAAAAAAATTTAAATTATATTATATAATTATAACTATTATATTTTTAAATTATTAAATTTTTTTTTTTATATAAATTTAAAAATTTACACATTTTTTTTTTTTTTTTATCTAACTACTTTTTGAAAAATGAAAAAAAGTGAAACCATGTGGGCCGCGAAAGATTTTTCGGGGGAAATTTGAGTTGTGGTACTAAAAAGATTGAGAACTACTGTGCTAGAGAATATTTATTAACACTGAAGTAGCTTTTTCTAGATTGACTATATTTAAATAATTTTGATTAATTAATCCCTAATGGTTAATAGTTCTATATCATTTATTTTATACTATTGAATTATTATGAGTGGACAGGAGAGAGTAGAGATGAGTTTGAAAAATTTGAATGAAGTATTTTGCATGATTGAACAACAGTCCGTCTATCATTAGATTTTGAGATCACACAATTATAACAATTAAACTGTTTAACAAACACAGACAATATTGTTAATTTTAAGTTCAAATAGTTTGATAATAGGTTAATTCACAATTGTTAAAACTAACATAAAATCGTTTTGTTAAATGCAAAATTAATAGTTTTTAAATATGCAAGACAGACAACAGATGCAAATGTGGCATTAGGCCAAGTTAAACTATTTTTGTGTAGAAAGCATTATATTATACTAATTACAATTTATATAAAAAAAATTTTCATTCATAAACAAGAAGTGCTTCGTTTTATGTTCCTATTATAATATTTAATATAATATACATACTATAAAGTTTTAATTATTATAATGAAAATAAACAAATAATATCTAATTAAAATTAACAACTTACCCATTTACATTCTCCAGTGAGATTTGTAGCAAATAACATATGAATGAAGGTAGCCTTCATAACACGTTGAAGACCAATTTTAATAGATAAATAAAATTCATCAGTACCTTTATCTAATTCTTCGAGCCATTTCCCAATTTCCAATATTTTCATTTGAGCTAATTCAGGTTCACCATTATGAAATAATTCATAAGAAATAATTAAATTACCTATAAACCTAAAAATAACAATCATTATTACAAACATTTACATTATTTAACAATAGAACCAAATAAATTGTAATTCATAGTTTATACCAGGTATGTCCAACCCGTGGCCCGCATAGGTGTTCCAACCGGCCCGTGTAAAAAAAAAATTATTATTTACAAAAAATGTATTTTATTAAGTTTTTAAGAATATAAAATATTTTACAATTTTGAATTTTTATATAAAAAAAAATGTATTGGATTTTGGAATATTAATAAAAAAAAATTAGTGAGAAATTTGGGCTTGTTTTTCTTTAACCAATCTTTCAATGTTCGGAGTGAAATGTGTAACGCCAATTCTTAATAAGAAGTGTAAGTACAATAGATATACCTATGACTAGTTATATTTTATCGAAATGAACAAAAAAAAAAAACCCATGAAGCATATACGGCCCGCAGTACAAATATACATTTTGAATGTGGCCCGCCAGTTGAAAAAGGTTGGGCATGCCTGGTTTATACTGTTTATAGGCTACAATTATATAGAGAAACAGGTTTAACTCATCAATTTTATACTATAGACAATTTCCTGAATTTTATTGAATGATAGTTTAGTGAGTAATTTTGTATATTTTGAAATTAGTAATGGATGAATACAAAAATTATAATTAAAAAGTATACTGATTTTAAAGTGTCTAGCTGTTACATGTAAAATTACATTGTCATAAATTAAAAATGATTAATTAGTTAAAATAAAATTTGACTCGTAATAACTTATAATGCATACCTAGTATTTTATTTAAATTATTTATCAAAACTTACCTTACCTACCTTTCTAATGTAAATTCAGTTGAAGATATATTCAAGTTATATTCTCCATATTTATTCCGTATGTGTAAAATTAAATTTTTCTTGTTTTTTGACTTTACATTCCACGTAAATAAACATTGGAGACTATTTATTTGATTCATAGTTTTTTTTTTAGTGGGATCCTCAACTGTAACAATATCTATTTGGTTCTCTCCAATAGAGCTTACTTCACTTTTAGTATCATCAAAATTGTCAACTGAAGCATCGTCATTAAAATTTTCTGGATGATTATCAACAATAGACAATGACTCAATAGCATCAGTAACATCATCTTTTGTCACAGAACAATTATCATCATTATCATCATTATCTTTGATCTCATCTAATTCAGTTAGCATGTGTTCAACATCTTTTGAAATAATCTTAACTATTTCAGATTCCGCAGCAATAGATTTCTTCTTGATGCCAGATTTATTTAGAAGTGTTTTAAACATTGAAGCAAACATATTTATTGTTGAAAGAGAAAAACTTTTTAAAAACAAAGAAACTAGTTAGTAAAATAGTAGGTAATAATTAATAAATATCTTGTTAAAAATATTAGACTTTTGTTTTGATACTTACAACAATAAAATAACTAAAAGCAGTGCAAATAAAAATGTTTTCTAAACAAATGTAGCAAAGTAGTAATAGTTAAAACTTGTAACAGTTGTAAAACTTGTAACTAATAACTGTTATATTTGTCGCATTCGCGTATCAATGTTTAAACATTAACTAATAGTGATGGGCACAACCGAGTGAAAACTATCGAAGTATAGTTTAAACTATCTAATTACTCGGTTGTTTTATAAAACTATCGAGCTATCGAACTATCGAAAAACTATCGAACTATTGAAAAACTATCGAACTATTGAAAACTAATAAGTGAAAATTATCAAGTAAATTCGGTCGATAATACCGAAAAATCACTCGATTGTTTTTTTTTAACTCGATAGTCAAAACTAGTCGGTGTAAGACGTATGCAACTACCGAAAGAAACAATCGAGGTTTAAAAATATCTATTCAATCGAAAAATCACTCGGTTGTTTTACAAACTATCGATAGACTATCGATAGTCAAAACTAGTCGGTAGCGCCCATCACTATTAACTAAGTATCCTTAAAATAGTTCATGAAAGTAAACGATAAATTATTAAATTAATATTGTATTATTATCAGCTTAATTTAACGATAAGCCTAATAAAACTATAAAACCTATTGTAAAAATACTCGAGTCTCGAGTTGTAGAAATCGGAGTCCGATCGTCCAACGAGTTCACAGATAACAGTACCACCACCAAGGTATAGAAACAATATTATTGTTAATTGTTATGTTATTACGTAATTACTAATTAAGCAGTTTTTTGGTAATACAAGTAATACCACTACTGAAATTAAATGACAAATTTTTAATTAGTATGACCGGAAAAAAAAATAAAATATTATAATTATCTAAGTAAAATATCTACTCAATTTATTAAGTATTGACTATTAAGTAATTTATCATATTTTGAAAGTGTTTGAATTACAACGAAGATTATTCCAGTTTGTACATATATTTTATTATAATGTACCTAATCGTCCTAGTCATATTTTAATAATAACATCAATAAAATACCTATAGCTAGCTAATGACCAACCCATGGTGTATTTGACAATATTTTATAAACCTCATTATACTTTGAACAGTTTGAACCAACCATTAGTAGGTACCTATACTACTATAACTACTAACTGTTAGATACTCTATAAAACGTACAACACAAATTAACACGTAGATAATGCAATTCGTTTTCGAAATTCATAATGAGACCCAACGGCAATCTAGGTACCAATTTTCCTCTACTAATAATTCTCATGGCATATTGACATAATGAATAAAATTAAAACTGAAAAGAGTCAAAACTATTGAATTTGCATTTTGAGCATACAAAAAATATTTGAAATTGTATAAATGTTTTTATAAACATTTACACTGTATGCTAAAAAACTGAAATAATTAAAATTAAAGCAAAGTTTCAATAAATTCAAATATTAAATTTTGATTTCATATAATATCTTGTATTTCCTATTTAATTAAGTAATTTTATTTATGTATGAAATATTATTAACATGATTTTTTTAATTACTTCATACGAGTTAAATTTTTACATACATTTATTTAATATGTATATTCGAAAATAAATCGTCTGTTTTTTGAAATATAGTTTTATTCAAAATTCATCATTATGCTTTGCTGGGTAATCATTTTTATGCAACACAATTTGTTTCTTGTATCTTTGTTTTAATATTTGTATGTTTTATTTCTATTAGGTACCTAATTGTCTTAATTATAATAGTAGTTAGCAACTATATAGTATGTTATAGATTGCATTCTTTAAATTTAAAAAATATTATTCTCCTAAGCTAAAACTAAATTCACACGTAAACGCCGTAAACTATCCTATATTAAGATACAGGTAGGGGTTGAAAAAGAAGCTACAAATCTTATCAGAGTCTCAGGGAATCTATATTCTATATTGATATAAATTTTACTGAAAACTATCCAATAGTTTCTAAGTTTATAGAGTAGAAAAAAAACAACAATAATAGGTATACCTATATAATATATTATATTATATGTATATACTAAAAATGTTATGATAGATATATCTACCTATATAAAAAACTATACCATCTATAACTAGGTATTTAAGATATTTTATTATTTATTTATTTTTATTAAATCTATTTGCTAAGCCAAAAAGATAATATGGGAGGTCTCACTGAAGATTCTTGTAACTAAGGTTCATAAAATCGTATCTATTATACTAAAAAGTAGGTAATTTTTTAAGTTATAACTTATAATATTACAAAAATAATAGTAATTAATAAACTAAGAACTCAATTAGGTAATTAAACTAATTCTACTAATTTATAATTTAAGAATTTTTAATTAATGAAGTAGTTAATATATAAATACAGTAATAATTAAATTTATAAGATAAGAAATAACTTTACTGTGAAGTGTGAACTATCAACTATCGGTTTACACTTTACAATTTATTATCATATAAACATTAAATTATTATATTATAATGCAATATATTTATATGAATCTAAAATCTACTGTAGGTATATTTTTACAAGAAATTATTTTCATAGAAAATTTAATATTTTAATTCATTTGAAATATAAATTTAAGTATCTATAGTATAACCAACATATATTTTTTTTTTTTGTGTTTAATTTGTTTTATTATATAATCTGTAAATATATTATTTTTACAATAAGCACAAGTGTTGTTAGAAAAGAATAATAAAATAAAATAAAAATAAAAACCAATATATAAAGCATAGAAAAGAAATTAAAAAATAAGCCACTTTGCTATAGATATACTTGTAAATTGTTATTAGGTGTTAACTGATTTTTGTATTGTTGTGGGTATATAATTTTATTACATAAGTAAAAAATTTAAAAAAAAAATCTGATGTGAAGAAAACAGGTTGCCTATTACAAGTTATTTTCTTATTGAATATAATATATTACCTATTGTTGATACCGGCATGTCTTTATTATCAGTAGAAATATATTATTATTTACATTATCTGTGAGGTTGTGTACAATATAAATACGTTCGTTATAAAATAAAAACAACAAAATTCTTTAGAAAATATTAAATATGTATAAAAAAATGCAATTAAAGAAATATGCATTTTTTTTCTAAAACTGATAAAATATACAAAATATTCATTTAACATTTTTAATTTTTAAACTTATCATTGTTAGAATGGATTTCTAGCTTGGTCTAATACAAATCGAGATCATATAAAAAAAAAAATATACGACTCCTATAACTTTCGACTCTTTCAAGTCCTATTTATACCAGCTATACCTAGTTATGACTGTTTAATGTTTATACAAGTTTATGAGTATAGACTATAATATTATAAATTATGATAGATAACTAGTAACTACTAACTTCTATTGTCTATTATCATATCTATGATATAAAGTTGGTTGTATCGAATGGAGTAAGTTCAAGGTTATAGGTACATAATAGATATATTAGTAAATATCTATTGCAATTAACGAAGTGTACGGACGTATGTCGTATATGATACGTTGCTAGTCATCACGTCAGTACTCCATACTACGACAAATAAACATATAAACATATTTAGTAGGATATTTATTTTTTTGCCGTGGGCACTACTGTGTATTCTGTTTTTTAGTAACCAAGTAACAATTTACTAAAAAAAAAAATACTAAACACTCTATATTTCTATCTAATTTTCTATGTAGCTGTTGCAAATTTATGGAACTTCACATCACACAATAACTATACGTCTTATTTGTTATGAAATTTTATTGTGCATTGTGCATATGCTCATCTAACCGTTACAACGTTCATAATATCTCATGAAATATAATATAATATTTTATAAAATAATAGGTACTCATTCAAATCGCGTTAAATGTAAATATGGTTAATCCTGTTTTTACCGCATATACCACGGAAATCCTAGATTTCTAGAACGTCTAGACTGATTGTACAATTTTGGTGAGCCATGTAAATCGTAAGGTATGATTATTGTAATTTGTAAGGTACCTATGTCTTTCTAATGACCTTAATCAATTTAAATTTTAATGCATTAAATAATTTACACAGTTATGTAAATTATATTTGAATAGTAGGCAGATAATAATTGTAACGAATTAATTTTAATTTTATTTAAAAAAAATAGACTATTTGAATTAGCCTAATTCAATTAGGATGGTTTCCAAAATAAGTTGTGCATCCAAATCACTCGTGCCCAGATATCTTTTTAGATATCTAATATCACTTAACTATTTACATTTGTTAAAACTAAATTGTATGTGCCTTTTATGACTTTATATCTTAGTTACTAGGTATTTTATAATGTTTATCCCCTGAGTAAAAAAGTGATATTAAAATATAAAACATTCTTATAATAATTGTATTTATCTAATCGTTAAGTAATACATATTTATTGGTGTCAGAGTTATATCAAAGAGTATTTAATTAAAAATTTTAATAAACGTTATTTATTTCTTATATTTAAAGTTTCAAGTACCTAGGTACCTATTAAGATTTAAGTAGTTTAACTCGCGCATGATAAGCTTGTATTAAGATGTAAGCTCGGTAAATTTACCAATTATTTTTTACAGATAAATATTTTTTTACTGAAAACAATAAATATTTGACATTTAAATTAAACGTCTTAACGAGGTGAATATTTATAATTTATCAATATAATGGAATAGTTGATATATAAAACTTAAAACATTAATCGTTCAACATACGCCCACATAATTTTGTTTTGTTGTTTTTAATATTATAGATAATAGATACCTATAGCTAATAAATTTAATTTGATTAATTTACAATTTATTTTATAGGTACCTACATTTTTAATATTTAATTATATATAAAATAATTTAAAATATATACAAAAGTCAATAATACACTACTAGGTAAGTACCTTTACAAAGTCATTCATTAAATTTATAATATCATTTAACACCCTACTATCCAGTACCAATAAAAATAAGCGTTACAGAAATTATGTAAATTTATGAAAAAGAGGAAGGAGAAGTCCCTAGGGACATCCCCTATGGTGGCACAAAAATTATCAGAATTTACAGAATTTACGATAAATGTACATATATTTTTCTCGGTAAATACCAAATAAAAAATTACGTACATTTTACATCTCTACTCGTATACAGTATACCTAGGTACTTGTATGACGTGGCATGTAATATGTACGATGTACCTACCTATATACATACTTATTTTATAAAAATAAATGTAAAATGTTTATCGAGTAGGTAGGTATAGGTATTGATATACACCGTAATCAGCATATTATTTTACAATAAGAAAATATTATGTAATAAACTAATAAGTAATAATAATATATATTATGGTTTATTGCTTGAGGATATTTTGTAGTTAATACTTTTCCTTTGGACTTCAGTGTTCATTATATAAATGGATCACATATTTTAGTAAATATGTTGCGACATCATTAGTAAAATGCATTAAAATTTAAAAATTAAAAAACATTATTTTATAATTTATATTGTTATAACTATTATTTTAAATTACCTGTTTGTTTTATAACATAATGTACAATTGTCTGAAGAAAAAAAAAACACGTGAACGATACCATAAGCTCATAACTATAGACTATAGTAAATTAATATATATAAATTTATACACTACGTCTACTACTACTTATATATTATCTATACAAAAGGCTTTTTATCAAGATTCTAGGCACTCTAATTGGTACTTAGTGTACTTACTATACTTAATACGCTGAACACACCCATATACTTCCAAGTTTTAATAGTACCAATACTACCCAATATATTTACCAAATAATTTGTCTTTTTTCGATAAAAGTATGAAACATAGGTACATATAGATTACAACATAAATCTGATATGATACGTGATTTCCGCTGGAATAACTATACACAGTAGCAGCTCGTAAGTAAATGTTTAGAGGAGATTAAATTTGAATTCTATAACACAACTCTATACAACAACGAACAAGAAAAATCCTTTTATTGAAAAAATAGTTGTACTTAATACATTTTTAATGTTTAATGACATAATGATTTAAATTTAAAGAGTCTATTATTTGGTCTTTTTTCATTTTGAAAGTAACTATTAATATTTAAATGTCGAAAATAATAAATATCAGATAGTATAACAATTATTAAACAATGAATGTAAATTGTAATTAATTATGACTACGTACAACGACTAACAACGGGGCGGCGGCACGACAATTGTCATGAACCCAGTTTTAATAGCGTCTACAATATTAATATGCGGCTTATTCTCTCAGGCTCTTTTAGTCCAATTGGTCCAACCAGCCTTACACGCCATTGCCCATTACACGTTAAGATTGAAATCTAAAATTTTCGGGCGGCATTTTCACTATTAAAAAAATAATAATTTTTAATATTTTCAATATTAAAAAAACAAAGAAAACGATTTAATATATTTTCAATTCAAATAAAAATGTATCTATACATTTTTATTTTTAATTAATTGTTTACAAATAGCTGTTTTTTTTTTTGTTTTTAGAGGAGAAACAGTCTTAAAGTCTCCCCTAACGATATGTTAAAGTCCAACAATGTTACTTTTTTATGAACTTACTACGAATAATATCAATTTTAGTGAAAATAATATGATCGATAAATTTCTTACAGATAAAAAATATCATTTCGACAGAATCGATATCTAAGCCTTTTGGATAATTGAGTAACCTACAATGGGCGCATAACCAGGTGCATACTCAAACAAGTATATTTTACAAGTGCTAGTACCAGTTTACGCCAAAAGAGTACCTTTTCCGATTTTATCAATACTTACCTATTAGAATAGATGTCACGAACAAAACTATTTCTATGCTATTAAAAGCTGGAAATGCAGTAAGTTATTTGAAACACTTAGTATATTATAATATTAAAAAATAATGTATTATAAGGATAATCAAGCAATAATAATAACACATTGTGAGTTTGTCGAGTACCTACAACATTTAGAAAATACAATTTTTTTTTAACCTCTGTAATTATTGTACAACGTCAAACTATTAAAAAATAAATAAATAGAACATGTAACATGTATGGTATATTTTGGTATATTATATACATAATTAGTTGATATATTTTTTTAAATAATAGGATATACTTTTCACAAAATATACTTATATTTGTAGGCATATATTGATGTATTTGACAAACTTAAACTTTGATATTGGTGCACTCCAACAACTTTGATATTTTTTGCTTTAGAGCAAAAGATATACATTAACATAAAGAAACCTCTGAATAGTAGTTCACATTTTTTGTAATTACAAAGGTGACATTTAGTTTAGTATTATTTGCTGTAGATAATTTTAACTAATAATTATAAGTTTAAGTGCATTATATTATGTACACAAACAGTCAAATATTAGTTGAAGGAATATGGAATGAAACAAGTCTTCACAAGTAGTTAAAATTTAATAAACTGAATATACCAGAATTTTTTTTTTCTGAGATAGGTATTCATTCCTTACATATAATTAGATATTGAGATATTTACAGGGAGAGATATAACTTTGTTCCTCTATTGACCTCTTCTTTCTTTAGGTATATTTATATAATTATAGTTGTGGTTTTTTTTTTTTATTACCAATGGGTAATAAAATGCTGAGATATTTGAAAATTAATATTTTGAATTTTATCTTCTCCCTTAAAGAAGCCATTGATTGAAGTGTTTCCATTAATCGAAAATCGTATAGCCATGTTTATAAAATAAAAATTTTAGTAGAACAAAAGATTTTTTATGACTTATTAGTTTTAAAGAATTATTAGATTAGGCTGACTATGGAGAAATGTTTTTGACATATTAGCAATAAAGCTTAGTTTATTAATAAGATCTATTTTTATAAAGATGTTGACAAAACCAATTATGTAGTTTTTGCACTTTACGCAAAAAAAAAATGTTCAAAAAAAATTAATGCTATCACTGTAGAACTATATTTGAGGATGCATGATGTATATTAAGAAAAAATCCTTAAGACTAGCTACCAAAGAGTATAAGTGAAATGTACAACTTGATGTAGTTTCTAATCACATTTCACAATTTAGATTTTTTATTCTTGTTCATTGAATAAGTAAATCTGTATGCAATTTTGAAATAATATGTTATGATCCATCCAGATGATTTGTTCAAATAATTAAACATTTTCTAAAGATGTTAAAATTAAATATAATTTTAATTTAAAACTAATTGCATGTGTAATTATAAATTATGATGCCAAATTAATCATAGTCTCATTCTTGATAGTTGATACTCCATACATCAAATATTTTGATTACCTACTAGCATAACATTATGAATAATAATAGTCTTAAAAAAACTTAATTACAGAAAATAATTAAAATATTAAGTACCTATTAATTAATTTAAAACTCTAGACTTGACATAACTTCAGATAATAAATAAATTAATACATCATAACAATAAATCAAGTATTTTTATTTTTAAATAAGACAAAATATTAAATTATTTAGTAAATTGAGACTTACTTGTTTCTAATTTTTTAATCTCTTATGATTGGTACTCCATCCAGTATAACTAGTTTAGGAAGCTTTCTAATACAATCACTACGCCATATAGATTCGTCTAAACAATCATAGAGTGGATTTCCTAAGGAAATTGTAATTATTTATCATTATGTTTTTAAACAAAGATAATGTGTACAAATAAACTGATGTCATATTATTTAAGGATATAGCAAACATTATTTTTTCTATAGCTACCAACCTTAACATTAAATTAATAAAAACATGTATGCAATTAATATATAATACATGCTATTGTAACATATCACATATTAATTATTGATTGATAAGTGATGATATTCAAAACTAAATAAAAAAATATATATTTCCAATATTATATTAATTAAGTAATTTTAACAATACCATTATTTTTAATAAATGGTCTAAAATTCTTGATGAATAGTTGATAAATTATCCAATGTATAAGTTATTAAATTATAATAATACCCTTATAGTGTGTATTATATGCCTAATTCGAATAATATAGGTACATAACAATAAATTACCGACAAATAAAAAGTCTTTTAGACTTTCCATTTCTGCAAGCTTATTTACTTCCGCCCATTCTTTGACATTATTATTAGACATGTGTAAAACTTTAAGTTTACGCATTCCTAGAACACCTTTCATTTTTTCAATAAAGTTATAAGATATCCATAATTCTTCTAAAGTATCAGCCAATGGTTCTAGCCCAGTAAAAGCCTTAATGTAGTTTCTTCCCAGTGATAAAATTTTTAAATTTCTTAAAGCAGCAAGACCATTTATTTTTTCAATCATATTTGTACTTAATGATAATTTTCTATAAAAAAATATTAACATTTGCACCTTCAAATATATAATACTTAACAAACATTGTATTAATAATAAACACATACTCGCATTTAGTTAAAACTGATAAATTATTATCCATTTTTTCAATCGGTGGCCATTGAAATTGTAAACATATATTTGTAGCTTCACTTGCAGATTCTTTATTTTCATCTTCCCAATTTTTTATAGCATCCTTTATTGTAGTAGCTTTTAAATCCTATTAAATTAAATAATATTTAATTATAAATTTTAAGTGAATAATTGCTACTTTAATTATTATATACTTACTCCCATTTTTATTCAAAAAATAATCTTTCATTTTTAATCATATGTTAAAATAAATGAAATATATTAAGTTGCTATGGTTATGTACTTAGTTGTATTGTTGTATATATCACTAAATTATTGATCTAATAAACTTTTATAATTTTTAACTTACTGAAAACCAAAATATTGATAACTGTTTTATCGTTTTAGCATAATAATTTTAATGTCTATATGACATTATAATACTAAATTATACTTCAACACAATCAATTGGAAAATATATTTAAATTAAAATTTCAAATTGTTATTGATAATAGTTATTTTTAAATCTCTAATTGGAAATACTTAATATTAGTTTCATTACATTTAATCCTATTATGTTTAACAAAATTAATTAGTTGAAAAATATTTATACGACTGAATATTTAATAAAACCTGTTAAATACACAGATACAGAATGATTCTTTTATTGTGAATCATTCATTATTATAAAAACTATTAACATTTTCTTATGTTAATGTAGTTAAAATAAAACAACACTTTTAAAGAAAAAGAATTATATTTTTTAAAGTTTTTTATTTTTTTGAATAACATACACTTTTAAATTTCATAATTAGAAGTAAAATATCTCAATACCTAAAAATCAAAATTTGGACAAGTAGTTTGAGTTATAAGTATTTAAAGTTTAGGTAAGCAAAGTAAATGGTACAGGTATGACCCATAAAATATTGGCCTATTACTCCATTTGCCTAAACTTTAAATACTTTCAATTCTCATAAAATATTCATCCAAATTTTGAATGTTTTGTATTGAAATATTCTATGTCTGATAATGAAATTAAAAATGTAAATTGTTATTGAAAAAATTAAAAATTATAATAATAAAAAATATTAAAAATACACATATTTTTTTAAAAATGTTGTTTTATTTCAATTGTAAGTTATATAAAAGAACTACCCCGTGGTGTGTATATATATATACATAGAGGAAAAAAAATAAAAAAATAATGATGAAATAATAGTTTTATTTATTGAAACATATACATATTATAATTTAAAACAATAATGTGTAATGTATTTAAATCGATCGAATTAAAAAATTGGTAAAAGAAAGCTTAGCAAATATTATGGATAATTTTTTCTTAAAAATATAATAATATAGTAAAAAATTAGACACAAGAAACATAAACTCTATAACAATATTTTAAATATTGTATATGTATTCAGAAACAATTGTTGTATAACTAAAACTAATGGAAATATTTATAATTAATAGAAAAATAAAATAAAAATTAAAGAATATAAAATAAATGTAAAAACATTTCTTAGTTGTTATTTTAAACAATATTTCTGAATATATCATTTGAATTAGATGACCATTTTACTTTACCAGTATCTTTATCCAAATAAACTTGATTAGTAGCAAACAGTTTTAAAGCTTTTGGAAAAGCAATATGTTCAACCTTCTTAATTTTTTCAATGAGACTTTCTTCTGATTCATCTACACTTATATTCACACTTTCTTGTACTATAATTGCTCCAGTATCAATTTCTTCCTAAACATTATATTCAAAAATAAATTTAGATTACAAAAAAAAAAAAAAATAAACAAAAATATTTACTTCTACAAAATGGACTGTACAGCCAGTAACTCGTACACCGGATTCAATGGCTTGTTGTTGAGGACGAAGACCTTTAAATAAAGGTAAAAGTGATGGATGTATGTTTAAAAGACGACCTCTCCACTTGCTTACAAAGTTTTTTGTTAATACTCGCATAAAACCAGCTAAGCAAACAACATCTACTTGTGTTCGATCTAATGCCTTCAATATTTCATTTTCAAATTCTTCTCGTGATTTAAACTTAGTATGATCTATTTCCTAAATAAATCAAAATAAATATATGGCACTTGCAAAATATAATTTATTAATATATTACCAAAGCCAATATACCAGCACGTCTAGCTCGCTTAAGACCTTCAACCTCAGGTCTATTGGAGATTACTAAAACGATTTCAGACATCATAGATGGATCATCAGTAGTAGTATCAATCAATGACTAAATTTAAAAAAAAAAACAAATTACTGAGAATTGATTCTTGAATTTATTCAAGCATTATAAATAATTAATACTATTATATTTTACTTGTAAATTGGTTCCAGATCCTGATATAAGAACAGCTACACGCATTTTAGGATGCATCCTAGATGCCACATATGTCTGAATATGGGGACGCATTAGAGGCTCCATACGATTTGCAAATTTTTTCACTTCAACTGGTTGTTCGTCTACAAGTATTAATGAAAGTTCACACTTTGAGCTCTCTTTTTTCTAAATTATATATATGTATTGTTACACAGTCTACAAAAAGTTAATTATACTTTTTGATATATTATGTAAGCTGCTGGTGGGACTTACCAGACATTTTTTCATCAACTATGCCAACAACTTTACCATTAGTAGCAGATAGAACATCTTCAACGTGTTTCCTATCAATAATTAATATCATACCCAAGCCACAATTAAGTGTTCGCAACATTTCCGTTTCATTGATGCTACCTGTGCAATCAAATACATTTATTAAAATAAATTACTTAAAAATAGACAAAAATTAATATATAATAAGTATTAATTAAACCTGTTGCAGCTATCCAACCATAAACAGGCTGTATATTCCATTTTGTAGCATCTAAAACAACTTTTTTATTTTTTGGTAAGATACGCGGAATATTTTCTATTAAACCACCGCCAGTAATATGAGCCAATGCTTTAATATGGTTATTTCTTATTGAAGGTAATACACGTTCAACATAAATTACTGTAGGAGTTAAAAGTTCTTCACCTAAAAACATATTTCAATTTTTCAGATATTTAAAGCAAAAATACAATTATTGAAATATTGTAATAATTTTAATTTTTAAGTTAAAAAATAGTAATATATGTTTATGATATAATTAAAAATATTTAATAATTAAAAATTAACCATAAGTTTTCTTGTCCAAGCTAAAAGGGGCTTCATCTGTAAACTTATGACAACCCATGTCCATTATTTTACGAATTAAACTAAATCCATTAGCATGAACACCACTTGATTCTAAACCAATAACAACATCTCCAGAAACAATATCTTCAATACGAGGCAAGATCTTATTTCGCTCTACTGCTCCTACTGCAAAACCTGCCACATCATAGTCATTATTATGATAAAGGCCAGGCATTTCTGCTGTTTCTCCACCTAAAATTAAATGTTAATTAAATAATTTATTTACATGAATAAACTATAATAAATAAATACCTATAAGAGCACATCCAGATTGATGACAACCATCTACAATGCCTTTAACCACTTGAACAACAGCTCCTCCTTCCAGTCGACCAGTTGCATAATAATCAAGGAAAAATAGAGGTTCAGCACCATGAACTAATATATCATTAACGCACATTGCAACAAGATCTTGTCCAATTGATTCATGACTATTACATGTTAGAGCAACCTTTTAAAAAATAGTAAATATCAATGATAAATAAGGGGTTTTATCCAAGAAATAAAAATTTATTTTATAAATTGAGACAACTGAGTTATGTCTGTAATTTTTCAATGTATAGAGTATGTACATAATCTGTGACCGTAATTTGTCAGCCATAAGTTCTAATCTAACCAAGTTGTGTCCACAATAATTGTTTATCAACACAAATAACTAAAAACAATTCAGGTTAAATTCTAGACTTTTCTATATATTAACTATAAATATTACAGAATAATTTATCCATAAATTAATATAAAACAATTGCTTGAGTTTAAATAACCTAAATCATTGATTATCAGTCAGTGTACTACAACCATGGGGACCACTTTGATCTCATATCCAAAAACATTACATTAAGCAATGATTGAAAAGCACAAGACTTCTCAGATTAAAAAAAAAAATGAAAGTAGCACTGTTATCTATCTACACTTGTATTAGTGAAATCACAAACAAAAGACTAGGTAAATTATTCTTAATAGTATTAAAAATAATCAAGCAAACGATTATACCAAAAAGAGTAGTTCAATTTACAAAAAATTATGAAAAAAAAAAAAATGTTATGGCTAAAATAAAAAAATAGTACATTATGAACATATTCAGACAAAAACAAAAACCAAGTTTAGACAACCATTTAAAAATTTAAATTTATTCATCAACATATCTGTGTATACAAAAATGTATGATTTCAAATTAAAATTAATGATAATCATACAATTTATAAAAATTACACCCTTCGGTCTGTAGAAGTTAGAAGGAAAATTTAATTTTTTTATTGTTATTGAGAATGATTTCAAATATTTCTTTGAAAACCCCTAGAGGCCACTTAGACCTGTTGTTGAAAATATTAAGATACAATTTGAATATATCAAATAAGGTTATCTTAATTTTCTTTACCTTCAATTTAGTGCCAACTCCATCTGAACTTGACACAAGTATTGGGTCCTGGAATGCAGCTGCTTTAAGATCAAACATGGCACCAAATGATCCCAAATCTCCAAGTACTCCTTGACGTTTTGTAACGGATACCATTTGTTTATAAATTGGTATTAGATTATTACCAGCAGTTATATCAACACCACTAGACTTGTAGGTTGTAGCACCTTTAGCAAGAATTGCTCTAAAAATAATAAAACAACTATAGGTAATTACCAAAATAAAATAAAATAATGATTCAAACCTAGCAATTCCTCTATGAGCAATATCAGTTCTGAATTGAGCACCATTAAACGTTATTCTGCCACAAGCCATAGTGGCTCTAGCAGCAGCTAAAACTAAGTCTTGATGAGTAGTTACCACAATCAATACACGGCCTCCATTTGTAACTAATTCCCCATAATTGTTCAATTTAGTACCCATATGAAATACCATACCTTTTGTTACACTAGATAATCCTGAAAAATTCCCAATTATGTTTTTAAAAAAAACAAAAAATTAATTATAATATTTTAATAAAATATTAATTAATAACTCAGTTGTATAATTTACCAGATATTACATCCCCTTTACTAGATGTTAACGGATATCCTCTACTAGCCATCACAACACCGACACAAAATTGATCAGTTTTCCATTTAACTTCAGCTTTATCCAAAGTACCATCACAACATGCCTATTTAAGTATTAATATTTATAAATTTAATATAATAATTGTTAGGTAACATCTTAAAATGAATATCAACAATAATAACTTATTACATACTTTCATAATATCATAAAAGTCTGATTCTAATAGTGGCAATATTGTCTGGGTTTCAGGATCACCAAAACGGCAATTGAATTCTAAAACTCTAATACCATCATTAGTTACCATCAATCCAGCATAAAGAACACCTAAAAAATATAAAATAAATAATAATTTTTAAAAATAATAATGGGCAATAAACAAAATACTTACCAACAAAAGGAGACCCACGATTACGAAGGCCATCAACAGCTCTTTGTAAAATATCTTTTGCCTCATCCAACTCATTTTGAGGCATGTTATAACAAGGACAAAATGCTCCCATACCTCCAGTATTTGGACCCTTGTCTTGATTATATGCTCTCTTATAATCTTGACTTGGTAACATGACATTTATATTAACACCATCAGTAAAACATAAAACCTATATAAAAAAAAATACCAAATATAAATATAAACACTTTTCTAGATTAAAATGAATGTATCATACAGAAACTTCTTCTCCTTGCAATAATTCTTCAACTACAACGGTCTGACCAGCTTTACCAAAACGATTTTCTGTTAAGATAGCATCTAATGCCAAGCATGCTTCTTGTTTATTAGAAGCAACTACCACTCCTTTGCCCGCAGCAAGACCACTTGCTTTAACTACTAATGCAGGATAATCAGCCCTAGCACAAATATTCAACATAGATTAAATAAGTGTCAAATACAAATATAATTTGTAAATATTAATTAGAATAATTACGAATAAACAAAATCTGTTGCTTGTTTAACATCATTAAATGATTTCCATTTGGCTGTTGGAATATTAAACTCATCCATAAATTGTTTTGACCATTCTTTGTCACTTTCAATACGGGCTGCTTTAGCAGATGGTCCAAAACAGTTCAAGTTATAAGCAGCTAATACATCAGCAATTCCAGATGCAAGAGGATCTTCAGGACCCACAATTATTAAGTCTATAGATTTATCCACACACCATTTTGCTAATAACTATAGTTTAAAAAAAAAAAATATAATGTAAAATCATTTCCAAAAATAACATTTAAATTAATATAAAATTAATTTTATTTCCAATGTTGGTTACCCTATATTAGTGTGTACTCAAATTTTTAACACGTGAAAATTCTAACTAAAGTAAAGATGTACAAACACTAGAATAAGTTTCAAATAACATTTTCTATACAGGTTTATGTACACTTGAAAATTGTTTACTTTGAATTATAATATACAAAATAAGACTAGTGATGTTATAAATTGTACAGAAAATAAATTACAAATATTCAAAACAATGAAATCAAAAAGTTATACTAAATTTCATGAAAAATAATAGTAAAAAAAAAAAAAAATTAATTAAAATTATTCATAGGGCGAATATCCATTATATTATTATTTTTAACTATATTAACATAATGTTAAGTTTTAAACATTTTATGATTTTTTTAAAGTTTTATTTGATTCAAGTTCAAATAATATTTTAAGTTTGATTCTAAATATGTTTATGAAATGTAAAAAAAACTTTTATATCCTCAAAAATAATTGTATTGTAAGTTTTTATTCAACAACGAAGAGATGTCCAGAAAAGTATATCACTAAAAATAAACAGAATTAAAAATGGGAACTTCCTAATGTACATTAAAATAAACTATAAGTTGACATGATTTTCAATAAAAATATTTTTATCTTCATACTTCAAAATTGTTAATATCCAAATCTACAAATTCAACTTGAGGCAATAATACAGCTCCAATGTTGTTTGGTGTAATATAAATTTTTTTCACCTGCAAAAAGGAAAAATGTGTTAAAAAGTATAATAAATGTATAAATAATAAACATGTAATATCTTTAAATAGATAGACTTATAAACTTATACAATTTGTTTTACTTCATTGTCTAGTATCTTCACTACATGTGTAAATATTATAAAAACTTAAATAATACATAATTAATGTACTATATGTACTATTAATGTTTATAAATGGATAGATTCTTTTACTCTCACACATTTAATGCTATTATAAGATAATTATTTTTTTTTACAATATTAAAAAAAAAATAAACAAAGAAGTATGTTTTAGTGTATAAATAGGTACAGTTTAAAATTAAATAAATAATAAAATAAAGATACATCTGATTAATTGTTTTTATTTAATTTATATTATTTAAACAATTAAAAATTGTCTATCTAATATAAATTTTTAAAATGTTAAAAATTATAATTATTTTCAAATAATATGACAGTGACGTTGAGGAGTTGCATAAGAAATTGATCATTTTATGTAGGATTGGATTGACAATTACTAACAATTAATAAATCAGCTATGATACTATAAACATGATTTAGTAGCTCATGATTAGTCCATTACATTTCAGTCAAATATAATTTCTATACAACTTGATATTATTATTGTTTTAACACTCTTAACTATTATAAATATTTATACCTACTCAATAAAAATTATTGAGTAAACATACTCAATAATTATGAATTAATACAGATAAATTCAAGTATTAAAGCGAATTATTGGTAATGACTATTAAAAATAAGTAAATATTTACTTAATTTAATATTATTATTTTAAATTTAAATTATTCTCACTTTTGAAGAAAGTGATAATTTCCAAGCAATTGCATTTTCTCGACCTCCGCCACCAACCACAAGTACACTAGCCATTACAGGATCTATAAAAATAATGGTTTTTATAAAATAAATAAAAATCAGTTGACCCTTTAAAAAAAATATAAATACAGTAATCAGATAAATTATTATTACACGAATCAGTCGTTGGTTAAAACTACCTGAGTGATTAAGCTGAAACCGCAAAAAACCACGTGGAAAAAACGAATAAAATGAATATTGCACACAACACGAGAAGTACGTCTGTAGTCTGTACTACTGTAGGACATAGATGTATATAATAACAATAAATTATAAAATATATAGTTATTACTTATTAAGCATTAGTTATCAGTCATTTAGAATCGCATAATCAAATACTCGCATGTAGAATAAATAATGATTATGAATTACGATTAAGATTGAGGATCACAACATTTAATACTTAATGGGCATTGGGCACTGGTCAGTGGATAATCAGTGGACAATAATCATAAAATATTAAATACATTTATTGCTTAATAATGGAAGAGGAAATATCAAATAAGATATAATATTTGTTTAATGATAAATGTATCACGAAACGTGATTTTATAATCACTTACCAATATCAGAATAATTATTATATAATAACCTTAAAGAGTAATTTTAACCGCCAAAATTGAGTAAAAGATTGTTATTTGTTGTGTTATTTTCTTGGGTAAAAAAGCGGAAATGACGTTTTAAATATTCAGGTGCCTTGAGAATTGTGATTTAAGTATTTAAAAACATTTCATTTATAAAAAAGTAATAATTATTTATTAATATTTGCCTTCCGAAGATAATTAGATACATCAAGTATTTGTATCAGTGTAATGTATAGTATGTATTAAATTGTATAGTATACTCTTTTATAATATTATATACCTACCTTTTTTGTTTAAAATTTTAGTTCATATTACAACAGACTATATAATGACTAACCATAAGACCATAATTATTTTTATTCTGATCAAATTATGAATAAAAATAATTATTATCGATTATTAAAATTTAATAGGACTCTAGAATTTTAAAATTATAAATTGTTCATGCGTTTTAAATATTCATAACTTAATTTAAAATATATTTAAAAAAAAAACCCATGAGGTTCATTAGGTAATATTTTAACTTTTAAATTTGATTATAAATAAATTCACTATAATATTATCCATTAAGGACTAACAAAGTTAAATGTTAAATTAATTCTTCAGAACGTACGATTTGCTATATTATGTGTTGGTAAGATGGAAACAATGCACGCTATGTATAAAAAGACAAAAGTTATAAACTATAAAATATAATACATAATATACCTCTCTTTTCTTGTATTATTGGATAAATATATTTCATATACAACCTGTACCTATCCAATATCGGCACATAATATTTTACGTATAATTAATAAGAATACAATTATAGACAATGAAGATTATTCAGATTTTAAAATTTCTAAGAACATTTTAGTCCTGGTAGTACTATAGTCTATTTAAGTCTCTAAATACTTAAATAGTGATATAGGTATAGTTAAACAATTATTGAATTAAAATTAATATCTTTATTGACAGACGACAGTTAATAGATAATAAATGAGTTATTATGTGTTTTAGTTATCAATATAGACTATTGGTATACTTAATACTTATATAATATGAAAATCTATAAATCTATATAATGTATAAAAATATTGAAAACAGGGTTAATGGTTATTTTATTATACTAAAAAATTAACAATAACTTATGTAATATATATATATATATATATTAATACATTGGTTGGTAGGTATTGCTAAGGCCTCCCGCAGAAATTTTTCTCAGGGGGGCCAGCGAAAAATAATACACTTACCATAAATTCTGTTTTTTATATCACATCATAAAAAAAATTATTTATTTATTTTAATATTGCAAGTGTCGCCTTATCAGTTATCAGTCTTCCTTATCGCCCTCCAAGACGCTATATAAAATCCAAATAAATGCAATAAAAATTAGGTAATATCTTAATTAGCGGGGGGGCGTGGCCCTCCCCCCCTGCGGACGGCCTTGGGTATTACCTACTATTACTATATAAGCATTTTGCAAATTAAAGTGTGTGACTTAAGAACCTATATATTTTGAAAGACTGTTGATCTGTGCGTATGGATACCTATAATATATGTTGTTAAATTTATTTTTCATAAGAACTACACTATAAATAAATTTTTTTTTATTTTACAATAATAATAGCTGATAGCACATTAATTAGTCGATTAAAAAAGCAATCTAGCGGTGACAATTTTTTTAAACTTAAAATCGTTAATCAATGTTTTTAGATAAATAATAAATATCCAGTAGGTGCACTCAAAATGTGTTAGGTTAGGATTTTAAAAAGTAATAACACTAATAAGTAGTAAGTAATAATCATTAAGAATTAGAATTTAGAACTATAATATTATGTAATACAGTGGGGATCTTATTGAATATTAGAATATAAAATATAAATTTAAATCCAATAATCATCAGCCACCATAAAAAAGGTCTAAAGGTCAAATAATACAAGTATACAAATATAATAACTAAATTTCTGCTTATTGATAAAGCTAGTCCACATTATTTCAATTGAACAATCTCATTATTCTGTGGTAGAGTTATATCATAATAGAATTAGAATATAATGATTGTTCTATAATGCTATAATAATAATTGCATTTTTCTCTATCTAATTAAAAAATAATTTCGAAGTCTTATTCATTAATAGTTGATACTGTTGATAGGTAGTGAATAATGACTTGTGAGTAAAACTAGACCTATGACGAAAACAAGTAGTTAAACCAGTGACGTATTTAAGTCAGAGTCCCAATATATTTTCAAGTTAGGGGGTCATAAGGCCCTTATTATATTATATTAAGATAAACACTAAACATGCATTTTTTGTTAATTGTATATATGTTAAAAATAATTACATTTAAAATACGAAAAATATTGTACATATAGTATCAGACTGTTTCTAGCATTACTATTAATAATTTAATTTCTAAGTTTAAATCCCCACCTCCTGATCCTTGGACAACTAAGTTGCATGTTACACCACTGAGTTAAACCTATAGGTACTAGACGGGTTAATTGAACGATTTAATACATATTGGTCACTAAAATAATATGAACGATAAACATATACTTATATTATGCATATTTATCTAAGTAGATACTTATATAGTTAAACTTGACTTTTTTCATAATGTTTATTTTTATATAATATGTATAAATAAGTACTTATAGTATGTATGATCATATTTGACCATTACTTTATTTAATGTACTGAATGCGTAAGTAAGAAAAATAAAAAATGTACCTACTTATGTACCTAACTAATAATAGGAATTTATCTATAAATTTGTAATTTCAACTAAAACATTAAATGATAGCTATGTATAGAACATGACATCGACATGCTTATCTTAAATAATATTTTAGTTTAATCTGTGTTCTTGAGCTTTGCCCGTCTTATTTAGGTATTGGTACTTAACTTGAATTAAATGCTATAAAAACGACAATAAACATACATAACTAATCTATACGAGTTTTTATCAGGTTGTATTATATAGCTTATAAAATTCTATTGATATAGTTAATTATAATTTATAATACTTACACGAATATACCTACTTATATCAATACATTTTTCACGATTTTTTAAACAATTTATTTTACGGAAGTTAGATTAAATGATTATCTACCTACAATCAGTGGTGTTCAAAATGTTTAAAAATATGGCATACCTACTTCATCTCCTATAAAATTTTTTAGCATATCAATCTATATAATATACGAAATATATATATCATAAAAATCATTGTTGGGGCCAGAGGGAATGTAGGATATGCGGTGACACCCTCTAAATAGTCTAAATTACTAAACGATTTTTTTGTACAGCTGAATCCAGTGGCACAATCGAGGGGGTCCCGAGTCCAGACTCCTCCCCCTTGAGTATTTTTAAAGTCGAAAATTACATTGAAAAAGATTTTGGTAATATAATTATATAATAATTACCACTAGTTGACAACCTAACCTTGTCACTGACTACATGCGACATGCCTACATGTTGTACTGGACCGATATTCATAATTTTTCTTTTTAAACTCATGTACTCGGTGTGTAGAAAATCAAATGAGAAAATTCCAAAAATGTATCAATGAAATAGTATTTGGAAATATTTAGTTTTACTGCGTATAGCGACACACTTGTTTGCCGTGCGTGCATATATCTTTACAATCTCCACTACTTCTACGAGTTATACATGTTGTATTGCTATGTCGTTTTCGTCTTTAACGACATTTTTTAATACATAAACATATAACAAAAACTTTATTTTCGATTTCGTCGTTTCATGTACAGCACTTCCAACAGAGAACACTGAACAGTATTTTTTACATGTAAAACTCTTACATAATATAATTATTTTGCTTAATTTTTATTTAACATAGCGTTTCAATTAATTTCTATATTAGGTGATGGAAATTGTTTATTTCGTTTCATGGCATATTATGCAATTTTCGGTACGCAAGAAAACCATCAAAATATTCGATTAAGAGTTGTTAATTTAGTGATAAACTAATGGATAATTGGATAATTGTGATAAGAATAGCTTTTACTATGACAGTAAAAAAAGAACAGGGTCAAACATTGGATATAAAGTAGGGTTGTATTTACCCCAACCTCTAATTAGTCATGATCAACTTTATACTTTATACTTTATACTTATATGTTCAGAGTAAGATATTTTGAAAAATTAAAAATACAAATAATACCAAACAACAAAAAAGCTACAATAAATAAAGTTAATAAAGAAATTCTATAATAATTAATAACAATAATAACAATACACAAATTCATTAGAATTTTTCATTTGTTAATACTGGGTGAAATATTTACAGTTTTTCCGTATGAAAAAGCCTCATGTATATATATAAATATTATTAAAGCTAAAAATTAAATTACCTTCCATTTTATGTTTTTCCTAAACATTATTAGTACATTATTATAACGACATACACATTTTTTATATTTATTTATTTATAAATAATTATTCAACAATCTTATTTTTTTTACTGTAATTTGATAACGACGGTTATTTCTATTTTTAAATCAATACCAGCACCTTAAACAGTTTTTTTTATAAATTATAAGTACATATTTTGAAAATGTTATTGCATATTATAGAAAAATTATTATTTTATATTTACGTATAAGTTTTTAGGCCTCACGAATAATGTTTTAAAATTATTACTAAATAATTAACATCGTTATTTATTGTTAGTGAGTACCGAAAGCACATTCGATAATCGACACTTATAGTAGAAAAAAACAGTTACTTAAAATTTCCGCTTTTTTATTATTCAATTGGAAGTTTTTGTATGTTATTAGTCATGGTCGTGACCTTTTGGTGCAGAAAAAAATGATTCAGTTTTTAATAAGTTTGAATTTCAAATTTTGACAAATTTTGTCAAATCCACAAAAAATGTAAATAGTTTTTTAATTAAAAAAAATCATATAATTTTCAAGTTATACCTACATATTATTGCTAGAAATTCATGTGTACTTAATAGTTACTCCTTCGGTACTAGTTGTTATGGTTATTAACAGAGCTGTGAATTTAATTCACATTTGTTTTGCTACACTGTATAAGATAATGGATTCGGACAAAGTCGTTTTTGTCTTATTTATAATTCAAAAACGAAATTTTAATTTGCATATTTTTTTTTTTTTTTTTTAAAGTAGGGCATACAACTGCACGTTTTCGTGATTTTTTCATATTAATGCTTTTTTCCTTAGTTTTTAGTCGTCCAATGGAACTATTATATTTTTAGTTAGGTAAGTATTAAAATTAAATTGTTACTCGATAATAAGACTATTTTTGTTCTGGTATCTATAAGTCCGTAATCCGAGTATAATTTCGTAATTTTAGATTAAAGAGATCTATATAATCTAACTGGAAGGTAATATATAAATAAAAAATTTAAAATTTATTCATTTTATTTTTTGATACAGACATTTTTCAAAAAATTTCTGTGTATATATTTTATATATTTTTAATGCATTAAATTTATAGCCCTGATTATTATTAATAATTACGGCACAGTGTGTTAGATATTTTAATTTTCCCGCAAACCGCTTTTGAATATCCAATGCTGGATTTTAATCTTATACATTCCGTAGTATATGCTCTGTAAATTAAAAATTCTGCTGTACTATTGGATAAGTGGTACACTTCACACTTGAGAACAATAAACGAACAATATGATTTTTTTATAATAGATTTTCTTAACCGTGACGAATAAATTAAATAAAGATGAGTAGATATATTATAAGGTATTTGTTTTTTTCTTCTGTGTAATCAATAGAAAACAGAAATAAGCAAAACTAAAATAAAAACATTTTTAATATTTTAAAAACAAAATTCATATATTTTTGGCATCCTATAGGATTTTATTGAATCCCTGGGTAAAAAAGCCTATTTGACACTCTCCGAGTCCATGAATTGATTGATATAATTTATATCACTAAATATTTGATTTATTTGAAATTATAATTTTATTGTTTTGTCAAATTATTAAATGTGTTTTTTTATGGTGAAAATATTTTAAAACTTAGTAGATACATTGAAAATAAAAAAAATACTTGAATGCATGGTTATTTAAAAAATAAAGCTTTAAATACAAAAAATTATTTATGCGTTTTCTACATATTTAACTTCAATAAAATCACATATTATAAGTTGTAATAGTCAATAGATTAAAAAAGGCTGAACGTCAAATCACAAAATATAAATTATTAATCAAATTATATAATATTATTACCATGTACTCGTATTAGCCTTGAATATTTTCAAAAAATGAGTACAATTTCATGTATTATTAATACTATTGTAATGGACACTAAAAAAAGTACTGCTCTATGAAAAACAGCACGTCTGATCACCATCATAAATTCATAATATAGTTATAGTGTTATTAGTATTGTTATTATTTCAAAAATAAGCTGTTACCGACAAAACTAAATTTCACATATATTTGATAATAACTGATAGGTAATTATCAAACAAATTGTTTTTTTCACAATTTTATCTGTTAAACAACTTGAATACTTATTGTGTAAGCTCAGTGACAATAATAACAATGTTGGTGATCATTGGTCGCGAGCTTTTACTACGTCACGGGCCCCCACGCAGTGCAGCGGTGACGGCCAAGGATGCTGAGATTCTTGAAGACTAAAATAAAATACACGCGAGAGTTCAATGAAACGTAACTATAATGGTACCATGTTTAATTTTATAACTTATATATTTAAATAAATATTCGTCGAAGGCGGTCGTATTATATATCTGTACATCGTTGTTCGTTAATTATATTATATTATAAATGTATAATATAATGTATATTAATAACCGCACCGCCTCACGCATAGAGCTTTGTTTAAATTTGGATAGGCGTTTGAATTGAGTCGATTTTTTTAATTTAACCTTAGATCTAAAAAAGTTAGGAATTTCATATAATCAGAACCTCTATAAACAAATAATATATCAAGATTATTTTTTGTATCTAGTATCTATATATAGATACTATTTTTTAAAAATGAATCTGTATCTGTATTTTAATTTTTAGATACAAAATATTGTGTACCTTAAAGAAGTAACTATTAACTAAGATACTTTTTAAAATATAATTATCATTATGTTGTATAATGTAAAACGCTTAATGAAAACTTAACTGAATTAGACTATGTATAATAGAATTCCGAAGATGATTGTTTTAAAACATTAAGGTTTTGGCTGTTTAGAGCATAATGATAGTAATATTTACAAATAATGACTCAAGTTTTATATGCATAAAGTTTAAGATATTTTCAAGAAAAATTTGAATTACAATATCTTAAGGCATTTAGTAATGTTTTTAAAGAATATTATGAAATATGATTTAATTCTTCTTTCTAGCGTTCTAGTTGAGCCATTAATTAGTACCTATTGGTAGACAAATATTAGTTTTAAAAAGAAATTTACTCGTTGACGAATATTTTGTAGTCTTATTTTATTTAAAAATAAATAACTAAATCTATGGTAATGTTTTTTATTATTAATAATTATAGGATTTATTGAATATTAATTTATTAACTGTTAGTGGGCTGTCAGGCGAATAATACGTTAATAATACCCATTGGCGATTATTTATCAAATGTAATACATTTTTATTTTATTTTTGTAAATTATGAATTATCATAAAATACATAATTATTATTACCTATTAGCCTATTATATTTAAATAATTATTCTTGATTGATAATAACTATACCGTATGTATACCACAATTGATTGCATATATATATTTTAAATAGATATTAGTAATTAATCATATGATTTAAAATTTAAAGATTTTTTGATTTGTATGTATTATAATATAAACCCTATACAAAAAAGAAATTTGTTAAATGCCCAACGGAGCACCATAATGTATGATTAACCAACATGCAGATCCCAGGAATTTAATAAAAATAATTTATTTTTTAAAATTTGAACCAATAGCTAATGATCTATCAAAAAATAATCTATCAGTTATCTCAATTGTAATATTATTTACTAATTATTAATTTTTATCAATTTAAAAAATATCTATCATATTATGAAAAATAAAATAAAACCTAATATGTTTATTGGTTATTAGTTATTACTTTACAAATTATAAAGGTGAAAAAATTTCAAAATACATTTTTTAATATCAGTTTATTTGAATTGGCTTAATACATTTTTGTGTAATATAAACCTTCAATTATCTATATCACTTTTTTTAAGATTCTTCAAATCGATTTCCGTAAAGTACAAATTAATATTTATATTAGTTTGCATAGTAAGGAGTTTGATAAAATCATTATTATTCAAGTGAGATGATAACATTTACATTTGCTTAATTGTAAGGTTTTTATAATAGATATAGTAAGTACATAATAGTATACACAAACACACACATATTTATAATAGAATATAGGTATAAAGGTAGGTATGTGGCAATGAAAAACCCCAATAATTAAGTAAATAAAAAATTTAAACCGGATACCAATGAATTTTTTAACAATACATCCCCGACTTTACACTATTTATGGAACAATATATCCGTATTCTTATATTAAATTCGTTTACATATAAAATGTTTTCGATAAATATGTTAATTTATTGTTACTAACGTATTAGACCGTATATACCTATCGTAGTTTATAAAATATTATTTTCGTATCAAAATATTATGATTTTGATATTTGTTGTGAACTTTGAAAACAAATACGGAAACAAGCTATTGTTAATACGGCCCCTTATTCAGCCGGTAAACATTAGGGGGGCCCCAGTGATCGGCACTCGTGCATAGTACACCAATTGAGTCCCGGCACAGAAGAAAAATGTACTAATATCGAGTCCCCGTAGTTGGGAAACGAAAAATGTTCCATTATATTATTGAGTTCACACTTGGAAATAGCAAAATATATCAATTGAGTCTGCTAAGCCCTCTCCCATTCTCGTTGGTAATTATTTAATGATGTTGCGCAATCGGAAGCAGTGAGCACTAAGAACCCCAGGGACTTGGACTACGATGAGTATAATATTGTTATTATTATACGGAGCGCGTTGTCGTCGTGCGTGGTGTTTCCCACACGGAACACAGCCACCACACGTAGAGACATCGTCCACCGTCGGCGGTGACTATGATGACGACGACGGCCTTGTGCCACCGCCATGTTGCCCCTCCGCTCGAGTTCGCGTGTGTTTTTATTTTATCATCTGTGTTTTTCACACGCACGCACACACCCGTGTCCCGTGGTAAACACTATGCACACACAGTGTAGTGTACGTCATGTCACCTCGAGCGCACCTACATGATATCATAAATATTAGTTTGTAATTTGTCTTTTATTATTATTTACAAATATAGTTATTATCATAGAAGTAATACTAGTAGTAGTAGTAAGTAGTAACTATAATGTATAATATATTATACTGTTATGCACTATGAAGACACAATGTTATGGAGTAGTAACCAGTGACTGTCAACAACACAGATCTAAAGTATAATAATATCGATGAAAAAAAATGAAAAAATGAAATAAAATATTAAAATAATTATCGCACACGATAACGGTGGATGCAGTTGTTGTAGTTTCGCGGTAAACTCTTAGAAATTCATATAATTATTTCCCTATGGAAATGACTCTACGCTACATGATATAATTATTATAAACACACACGACAGTACGACAAACACATGCACGTCGTACGCACACAATCTCAGCTGACTATCACGTCCGGTTGATCGTCCAGCGATGCCCGTCGATTTGAAATTCGCGATCGTCGACGGCAACAAATCGACTTCGACGACGACGACGACGACGACGGTGGAAAAGAACCGTCGATGATCGACAGCCGACGTTAGCAACAGGAGCAGCAGTAGTCCATACGAATCTCGCGGTAAGTCGCCGCGACGCGCTCGACCGGAGTAGTGATAACCGCTCTCGGCCAAATCCTCTTATTGCGTTCTTTCGTCATCGCCGTCGCTTCCACAATGTCGCGCGCGCGTGACTCACACACGTCACTCCGTCATTGACGGTGGGTTCGCCGTGTCGCCAACACACATTACTCACACGGTCCGACCGCGCCACACCGTGTCCTCGCTCCGTCGGTCCTAACGGCGAATGGTGGTCCGACCGTCGAACTGGTGTCCCATACGATTGACTTAACACTACCTGTTTTTGTCTGTTTTTCCGGCACGGGTACAGACCGCTATGCCGTTTCCGCCTCCTCCGCCGCCGCCGCCCCCGGCTTCTACAACCCTGTCGGGCCCGCCGCCGCCACCTCCACCGTCTGGACCACCGCCAATGTTTGGTGCAGGCGCGAACAAGAAGGGCGGCAACAACCCGTTGCAGGCCAGGGATCAGCTGCTGCAGTCCATCAGACTTGGAAAGCCTCTGAAGAAAACCGTGACCAATGACAAGAGCAGCCCGCTCATCAACAGTGAGTACTTACTACCTAGTGATGTATGTGACATACCCGGTAGCATGTCTCCTTTTCCATTTTGCTCTAGGCCATTGCCTTGTTGTTACCTAGCATTATTGTCTGCCGTCTTGACATATGTAACTAACTGTGATAGTTGGTGTATTGATCAGTGTTTTGTACATGACTCAATTACACAAATCATGCCTGTAGTATTTCATTTAGTTGCTTATGTGAAATGTTCAAGTCTGATTTTTAATGATATAGATTCACAAAAAACACCTGTAAAATGTAATGGTACTGTAAAAAACGGAGAAATGAGTTCTATAGCTGCACGAACACCTAATGGCTTAGCAGAGTTATTTGCTGGAGGCATGCCTAAACTTAAATCAACTGGATTAGCTGTAACAGGTATGATTATACTCTGATGAAATCAGAAAATTTGAAAAATAAGAATTGAATACTGTATCGGGTGAGTAGGACAGAAAGACAAAGTCACTTGATAATATTAGAAAAACTATTCTGACTTATAAAATGTAAGTACTTATAATAGTATTCTAAAGTTGTTTGGTTACCTATTTAGTATAGTAACATCTAATAAGCTTACTTATGTTGTTATAAATGACTTAGTCTTTCTGACCTATATTGTGAATACAAACATATAACTTACTAAATATTTAATAGTTAAAGGTAGGTAGTACTATCTATTTAGAAGTATTATAAATATGTATGTAATTTAAAAATTTTAGATCCTATTTTTTTATTAGAAGTATGTATTAAAAAGTCACCTAACTTTACTCACTAATTTGTTTAGTAAAATAGGAGAACAATTTTTTTTATCAAATATATAAATTATAACCATAGTTCATAAATATTGTATTATAATAATGTATTTATGTTAAATGTTAATAATAAAAACTATTATAAAATTATATTCTGTCAATATCTAAATCTTATAAAATATTAATAATTTTATTTTCTAATTCTATAGATAATACCCAACATTAAAAATAGAAATCATTACATTCATATTTTAATTTGTTAATAAGTATTTATTCCATATCTGTCATTACATCATTACTCTAATTTCCTACTATTGTATTAATGATGTAGATTACATTATACTTGCAGATATTAGTGTATTTTCTATGTTCTAAATGCAATAGAAATAATAATTAAGAACAACTTATATCTATACCAATGACACTGATTTGTATGACATTTTTATAAATGCCTAATATTTTATGATTTGTCATTTGACTATTTTAGTTAAAATTAATTATTTCCTTTGACTATAATATAGCCTAAATAATGAATATATTTTTTATGGTTTTGACATCTCAATTGAACAAGTTATACAGAACTCATAAATGTGTATTCACTTTCTTAGAAATTAGTAAATAATCTTTATTTTTTGTGTCATTAATTTGAGTTAAATTTTCTTAAATTATAATTTGTTCTATCTAACTGATTTACAATAATTTAAATCAATAAACTTGAATATGCTCAATTAATTTTAATTGCTAAATTACATTATTAAGTGATAATAAAACAGTAACCTATACTATACTTAAATTATATCTTATTGCCTTTAAACAATTAATAAATAAATACATTTGTAACATACATATTTTATAATAATATATTTTACTAAATATTATTTAAGTAATATTTTTTTATTTTTATTTTTCCAAGATATATGAAAAATAATTATTTTGTATTATGAACCAGGCAATATCTTAAAAAAAGAATTTTGAAATTGTATGGTTAACTCAGAAAAACATGAAGTACTTAGTTTATTTTTTAATCAGAAAATAAATGATTTAAAAATGCCTTATATTTTAAAAAATATTTGCCTGGTTCATGATAATATAATCATATAGTACAAACATATATATACATATATATGCCTAGAAAACTATGAAAAAACTAATAATTCTATTTTTAAAATAAAATCTTTAAGATTTGAATATACTAATTAAGACATACTTAGAACTATATATTTGACAAAAGTATAATTTATGTTAATATATTTATAAAATTTATATAAAAAAAATATTTGATTCTTATATTTTTGTGGTAATACAAAACTGCTTAGAATTTTTTATTTTATTGCGAGTAATTTATTTAAATATAATATAAGTTACTGCCAGTACTGTCATATTTGCTTCACATGTGTTTCTTTTGTTAATAACTGTGTTTAATCTAAATTCATTTGTGCATTATAGACAATTGTACAATAGTAATTGTATAACTACTTATCATAGTTTTACTGTTATTTCTTAAAATTAAGGTTAAAACATTTATGAAGGAAATGATAAATATAATTATTTATTAAGTATTTACCAACATAAGACTATTTGTGTAGGTATTGATGATTTGATTGATGTTTAAAAAAGTTTATATTATGACCTTGATCAGATGACCTAATTTTTTTACCTGAACCTTAAAAAGGAAATGTTAGCATCTTGTATGCCAGTTAGTTATGTGGTTGGTATTTCTTCACATTTTTCTTTATTTCTCCATTTGGATGTAATTGTCATAGATGTACAAAGAATGAATAGCTTATAATATATTGATTGATTTCACTTTGAACACTATACAAATATATTTTGTACTATGAGTTTATTTTAATATTTTTATTTTATAGCAAAAATTAAAGATTATTTTTTTATTCTTAAGAATTTTTTTTTATCAAGACTTATTATTTTTATTAGTAATTTGTTTTTATTTTATTTTCTAATAAGCCATTATAATATGTATTCTAAAAGATGAAAAATAAAATGTTAATTCTATTACAATATTGGGTATTAATATAACTAGTACATTTTCTTATTCATCTAATTATCATTATTTTTATTTTACTAAATAAAATACATTTTGTATTAGTTCATGCAATATTCAATACATTATACATTTATAAACTTTATTAGGAAAAATTTGATACCTGTATTTATGCATATTTTACTGTGTCAAATAAAAATAGTTACAAAATATTATTAGCATAATATGATAAAATTACTATGAAAACTTATGACTTATACCAATTTATAAAATAAATAATAAATCTTTAATTCTAGGTCAATCAAGAATTCAAACGCCACCAACCAATAATTTATCACCAGTCTCATTATTTAATCAAACAACAGCAAACAACTCTCCTTCTAATACAAGTACTCTTCCATTACAAAAAGTGAGTTATAGTGTTTAAAGAAAGTATTTTGTATGGAAATTGACTATATGATTTTGATAATTTTAGAGAAATGATGGTATAAGAAAAATTCAAAACGATATTAAATTAAGAGGACCACCTCCTCAACCACCACCTTTTAATCAAAAACCAACTATTCCTTCGGTAATTTTATTCAAATAATATACTTTATACATTTATTTTAAATTGTATTTATATAAGTACGTGTTGTTTAATTTTTAATTTTTAGAGTACTTCTGAACCTGTTTCAATTATACCACCTGGTGTTGGTCACAACTTGACAGGTAGTGTCCCAAGTCTTGTATCTGATAATGTGGCAGGCAGAGGTCCTCCTCCTGGTGGATATGGCAAACCAAATGTAGCCCCAAAACCACCATCTATCAGGCCAGCCGTGCCCACAAAAAAGTCAACGTTAACAGTTAGTTCAAGTAATTTAGTAACTGCAGCTGATGGACGAAATCTTGTATCTAGAGCACAAAGCATGAGGATACCAAAAACACCTCCAGTTGCTCCAAATAGCCAACGTATGTGTTTATATAAAAATATTTTATTAATAAAGTGTAAAGTTTTATAATATTTTAATGTTATTTTATACAGCACCTCAATTCAATAACTTGACCATCAGTAGTAAAAATCAATTACCTGCTTTCCATCAATCACAAGACAGTATTTTGAGGAACTCTCCAAATCCTCCACCAAATTCCCAATGGGGATCACGGACATTACGACCTATTAAACATCCAAATACTAGGCCACCACCACCACCTATCAAAGCACCTTTGAATCCACCAGTGTGTGCACCGCCACCACCACCACCTCCACATCGAAGTGGGCCTCCTCCACCACCACCAAATGTACCCCCTCATAAAAGCTACCAAAATAACAATGTAAGTATTTATGTTTATTTCAAATTTAATAATTCATAGTTATAACTTATAAGTTATTTATATTTTTTTAGGTAACTAATGGAGCTCCTCCAACACCTCCAACACGTCATTCTTCTATGCGAAATGGTCCAACTTCTGTTTTAAACATGTCTCTTTTGGGTAATATAACTTATTAACTAAATATAAATGATTTTTTTAATGTGAAAATATAATTTTTGTAGAGGAAATGGAAATGAAGTTTTCTACTATGTTCAAACCATTGGTTAGGATTCCATCGCCTCCAATTTTCCAAAGAGTAGATAAAATTTATAATAGTAGACTAGTCGGTAAGAATAAATTTTTCTCTATAAAAAACTCATATATATATCTAATATTAATATCTGATTTTATTTCAGTTGCAAAACATCAAGCTCCTAAGCCACCAGGCTATTGAACAGTATAATTTGTTTTGCTCAAATATGAGAAATTTTGGATTTATATTCCAAATATTTTACTTTCTACCTAGGTTTGTATGTTAAATAATTTTTTCCTTAGGACAAAACTATATTTTTGCTTGTAAAAGTACAATATTATTACTTTTAAACCAAAGGCATTATTGTGATAAAGATAACTTGAAAGTATCATTAATGGTGAAAAAAAAAGAGAAAAGTATTTATTTTTTTGTCTAATATATTTGTTTTTACATGAATTATTCCAACAATAACTTTATATAGTACTATTGTTATTGATATTATATTTTTAGATGTACATTTTAAGTTAAAATTATATCATTTTGAAAAGAAACAATTTCCCCAAAAAATTTGTGATAATATTATTGCACTTGTTATTGTACTAAATGTGCTTTTATTTTTATACTTAAAACCATGGTTTTTTTTTTTTTTTTTTTAAGTAAATTAACCAAGTTTATCAGTTTGTTTGTTTTTATGTTGTTTTTACTGCATGTATCAATAAGAACATTTTATTTTTTCAAAATTAATTTGTCTATTTGGCGTTCAATTTTTTACTATGTAAGACAAAATTCAGTCAATTTCTTCCGTTTGTTGTTATGATTTAGCATTATATTTGCTAAGAAGGGGGGTAATATATATATATTTATTTTATGATAAATTATATTACATTATTATTTATTGCATATATTTTTATTTTACTTAATCTCTCCTAGTCATAAATTTAGATAAATAATAGTATGTACATTTACGTTGTAAATAATCATTAGGGAAAGGGATAATAAAAATTTTATAGTTGAATATAATTTAAAACATAAATATAATCAAAAAAAAAAAAACCAACATAAATTTCCATGAAATTTGTTTGGTTTTAGTATCATCACATGGACTACTATATTTATTTTTAATCTTTTTTATTACTATCCCACTGGCAACTACATCAACAACCATACAATCATTTTTATTTATTAATAATATAGTTTATATATTTTTAAATTGATTATTTGTAATTCATTTTATTGCGTTTCATACTTTTACTAAATATATACACATGATTGCATGTTCAAGTCTTATACTATGTTTACTTTTAATTACATAGTCTGTAATTGTATGTAAGCTAATTAAAAAATGTAATTTTAATATCTTGTGGTTAAAGTGTTAAACTGTACACCATTATAAGTTACTGTTGTTATCAAGAATTCTATTTGATGTATGCTATATATACATGTAATAAAATGCATTGACTATTATTATACAAAATATATTTGTTTTAATATCTTTGTGTTTAGTTTACATGTAAAACATTCAAGTTGTTAGGTATATTTATTTTTATCCTTTATCCTGTATTTATTTATTTATTTTTTCATTACTTTAATTTCCAATTTATTTTTAATGTTGTAGAAACCAATACTTAAAGAAGGGTAATGTGTAGAGTTGTTTTTTAGTTTATCAATTAATTACGTTTATATATTATGATAAACTGTTAAATTTGAGCTTAGATATTATTTAATTTTTTTTTTATATACAGAATAATATGTAAAGAAATATGATTACTTTTTAAAATTAGTAGTTCTGCTATTTGAAAATTAAACTTGACCTAATTCTACCACTTTATACTAGTTTTAAAATTAAATTTTGATTTTTTTAATATAAATATTTTTTTTAGTAACTGCAAGTAAAATCATATTTTGTACCACCAAATACTTCTTATATTAACTAACATTTTTAATAATAAACTTTTTAAAATTGAAAAACAATTGTTTATTAAACTGATGATATTTTTGGTATTCAACATGTTATAACAAATAATAGGTCTCATTTATATGTTTATTATTGTTGTAATTATTTTCCAAATACCCCCACTATGTTTTTACAAATCTAGGAATGGAGACAAATTTATAGATTTGTTCAAGATTAAACTTAAAAATAACTAATATTTATTTTTCTCTTTGACTTAAACTTGAAAGGCTCAATTCTAATAGATAATTAATTTATAATCTCTTCATACTTATTTTTATTTGATAATGTATTTTTATATGAAAGTTAATTAATCATAATTAAATCAGACTAGTCACAAGTAGTTATAATTGCATTATAAATATTTTTAAGAGTTTATTAATGTTAAAAAAATTTAGCAAATTTGCTAAATACTGATGTTATCTAATGTTTTGACGTGTAACCATTATCGATACTTAGTCATCATTGATTATAATGGTTTTTTTACAAATGGTCATTATTTTACTATGCAAAGAGTAACAATAATAAAATAAAAACTATTATAGTTTAAATATAGATTTATAAATATAAAAGGAATAAAAATAAATTATAACAAATAATGTATCCAGTTATTTTAAATAAGTAAAAATGGACAATGAAATAAAATTGAGATTGAGAAAGCAAACCATGTTCTTTTGGTCCATATTAATTAAGGCTTTTGTGAAACTGCAAAATAATAATTAATTAAAACTGGTTTAAAATATTTTATTATTCATACATGTGAAAATTACCTTTATATGCATACTCCAAGGTAGTAGTGATATTTTGCATGTCATTTTCAATGGTACGCGTCCAGTTTTCGACATCACCCAATTCCTTAAGTGCACTATTAAAGTTGTCAATCAGTGACAGCCATTGAGAAGTCTGTTTGGAAAAGACAATAGCACTTTGGTGTAATTGTTTTGCTTCAGCATCCAATTTTTTTTGATTGAGATATGCTTGAGCAACACTAATGTCAATTATAAAATTAATCATTTACAAATATATTTTTTTCAACTAAAATATTAATATAATATTTTTCATTAATGGTCTCCAAGTGTTCTAATTTAATAGTTGCATTCATTTAATTTGAAACAATTCAAGAAATATAATTTATTTGATGAAAAAAAAAATAAATAAATTTTCCATACCCAACATTCAGGTGTTCGACCAGTGCGTTAGTTAATTCATTGGCTGCATTCACTGCCTCTTTTCTTTTAATATCTTTGGAATAAACATAAATTGTATTGTGTAACGAGTATAGTATTAAATATAATACAGAACCACAAATGAGGATATTTTAGTATAATAAGCTACACATAAAGAGAAATTATGACAAAATATGGTTACCTTGGCTTTCTTTGCGCGCAGCTTGTTTTACTTGATGTTCTTTGACAAGGGAAGATAGCATTTTAATTAGAATACAACTTCGATAATATTCAGTTAAGTTTTAAAACGTATAAAACAATCGCATAGATTTATAATAAATAATAATAATAGGTAAGCTGAAGAATAAATATTATTGTTATCACTAAAATATCACTATCAGGTGAATGAAAAGTTGCCGCTGGCAAATATGTATGATAGTAATGATTTTTTTTTCGAAAAACAGGGGCTCTCAATCTGAAACGAGATTGGTATACAAGATTTTTACCATGTAAATATATTCACAATTCAAAATACGCGCGCTTTTTTCATAATTTTGAGAAGCCACTATAGAAATTCAACGCTGGGAGCGTTCACACCAGCGGCCACTTTTCATTCGCATGACAAAATCTTTATAACGACGTACATTGATAATAAATAATAATATATTTATTATAAGCGGATCAATTTAAATTTGTTATAATTTCATGATAAGTGTTAACAGTTACACATTTATAAATTTATAATACATAATGCATATTAATGTAATTGACTAATTGTATTATTGTACAAGCGCTGTAACAGAATTGTTATGGATTTATTGTGCAATTAATATTTATAAAATTAATAAAATTTAGGTAACTATTTAAATTAATTTTTGCCGCTAGGTATACAATTTTATAAAAATTTGCTACTCAAAATGAGTTCAAAGTACAAATCACCACTAATAAGATCAAAAAATACATCTGCTACTACAAATAACCCATCGCCATTTCCAAATGTAGAATCTCCTTCAAACCCAATTCAACAAATCTTGAAGGACGATATTGTGTTGTATGATAACACTCCTCAACTATCACCTGCCAAACAAAATTGGCGAGGACGTGGTGGTAGTTCACCAAGATTCAATAGCCCACGATCCAGAGGCAGAGGATCACCATACCAATGGACTCCTAATAGATTTAACAACAGTAGCAGTTCAGATGTAGCTAATTTTATTAAAATAATAATTTGATTTTTTCAATAATTGCTATAATTTTTGATTTTTTTCATTAGCAAAACAGTTCGTATGGTTACACGCCACGCGAACAAAATAATTATTCCTCATACAGACCACAATTCAATAAATATAAAAGTCAAAATCCTAATGTAAGTAAGAATTTTAATATTATGCTATTCATCTCTGTAAATTAATGTAACATTAATATACTAGGGCATATGATTATGATTTATGAAATAATAAATTTACTTAATTAAGTTATTATTATGCATTTATGTAATATAAAAAAATGTTTGTTCATTGCATGGGTTAATAAATTATTGGCAATTTTTTTTAGAGATATCAAAATTCGAATAATGATAATATTAATGAAAGCTACTTTCATCCATCAATGTTGGAAGATCCATGGGCATCATTGTTAAATGATTCGACAGATAACACAGAAGATAGTCTTACAATATAAATAAGTAATAAGTTATATATTACTACTAGTGGTTTTGTATCTTTTTATTCAAAATGTTTAATTATTGTATTATAAAAAATTAAATATATTTTTGTACATGACAAATAGTTTGTTTAATATTTGTTTTTGAATTTCAAACAATTCTCTTAAATAATCAAGTTTAACACAAATTATAAAAATAAACTTTAATTAAGTACTTACAATATTTAGATTTAATTCATACTTTACTACCATAGGTCATAATATAATTTAGCTGGCTCTAACTTAAATACATTTACTTAAACTACATTTTTTATATATTTCATGCATAAAATATACACTTACTTTCCATCATTAAAATGCTTATAAAAGAAAGTTCCAGCTCTATTCGTTATGTTTGGTTGTTTATCATTGCTCGCAGGAACAGAATTCTATCAAAATTTGAACTAAATAAAATACATGAAGCAGAAAATAATATCTATTTCTTTTGGTGGTAAATCAAATAAATATTAAATCATTTACCTTCAAATTTATTTTTATACTCTTGTAGTAAAGAATCGTTAATTTATATTCAACTAAATTAAGATTGACCTAAACTAAATTGGAAAGTACACGTTTTGAGTATATTTTTATAGTTTATTTAAATGTTTTTGATAATAAGTGGCTGATTGAGAATGTGAGAAAGTACATCAATTTTGAAATGTTTCTCAAATTATTGTGTAAAATTATGTTTGTTTAACATCTAAAAAACAAAATATTTCAGGAATGGGATTTTGTAAATTGGAAAGGTATACAGCTGAGTAAATAATTTTGAGCGACAGGAAAATAATATTAACATTAAACATATAAATGCAGAGTATACTATTGTGTTATTGTTCAAATAAATTCCGAGTTTGAAATTGGAAATGGTATAAAGTACATAAATTAGTAATGGCCTAAAACTTACAAATATATTAAGTAGCATTACTTAATTTTTTTTGATACTTATTCAGGTCTATGTTTGGTATTAACTATTTAATAATAATGAAACACATAAATAACAATAGGCACTTTGGATTGCTAAAATTTAGTCAGTAATTTAGTGGGTTAACTTTGTAGATAGTTTGTTAAGGAAAATTTTATTGTATAATTGTTATTATGATTAGTAGGAATATATAACATGTAATATTTATTTATAATAAATGATTATAAGAATTACTTAATTCAAAAAAACTTAATTATGTTGTTATACTCTAGAAAATTTTTAATCTTAACATAAACAAATTTATTTTATATCAAAACTTTTTTTTTAAATATAAAAAAAAAAGACTATTTAAAAATAAAATTAATAACTTTTTATTATATTACACAATAGCTCGGTTAATAATTGTACATCACTAGAGTAATATATTAAATACAAATAAAAGATTATTTGACAGTTTTAAATTAATATGTACTAACCATTACATAAAATAAAATTACTTTTATAATCTTCTAATTTACAAACAAATTTTTAGAATTTTAAATTAACAGAAAAAAATAATCATCATGTATATAATTAATACTTACTACTATATAATAACTTTTTTAATACACCAGCATTTTAGACAATTTAAAGTTTTAATGTATAGTTTTATACTTAAACAAACAAATTTTATTTTTACTTAAAATTATTAAATACACGATATTAGGATAACCAACTGTTTTTTCATTTAAGTTGCAGAAAAACCAAAAGATATCCTATGTAATATGTATAGTATTATTATCATTCATGATAATTGAATTTGTTGAGATAATATAATAATAATAATATAATAATAGACACATAATGTATGTTTTTTTTTTATTAATACATTGAGAGTTAAATTAAATACAATATAATCTTTAAATGAATTGCACCATTCACCAGTTTTCTTCTTTACGTTTATTATATTCTTCAAGTTCTTTACGAATTACTTCTATAGGCTTCATGGTTTTGGAATTAGTTCCTCTGCAACGTGGACAATACCATTTTCCTTTGGGTTTTTTTCTTAAAGACACACAGCCAAAATGAAACCATTCAAATGGACATAAATCATTGTCACAACAAACCATATCACCATAAGATATTTTTTCACAAATACAGTAATTTGGTTGTAATTCATTATCACTATCAGAACTTTCTGATTCTGAAACTACTTTTCTATTTTTAGGTCGATGTGCTTTAGACTTTTTGTTTGTAGTGTTCTTTATATTTTGATTAGTGCTTGATTTGCTATCCAAATTTGCATTATTTTCTACACTTTTGTTTGATGTTGTAGTGGTTGTTTTTGTTATATTTCTTTTTGGACGCTTACTAGAATTATCTATATTTAGTACATCATTAGAGTCTGAATCAATTTCCTTATAATCAGGTGTCCAATTTAACAATCTTTTAGTATTTTTATTGGATTTATTTAAACATAATTTTGTCGTTTTAAATTCTTTATAATTCATATTTAAAGTAAGCATATTTTTTTCAACCATGTCCAATAGACATTCTGAAATGTCAACTTTTCTATCCGCCAAATCTAATGACTCTATCAACATTTTCTTCATGCGTTGTCCATCAGTAGATGTAAATTCTTTAGGGTTTTTAGTGAATTTTGTCAATTTGTTTAAAATATGTGAGTGACGACAATCAATTTCAAAAAAACGACTTGCTTGTCTTTGCCCATCTGGAGGAAGTTGTTTCATAACATCATCATAATTGTTCAAGTAGCGGTCAACTGCATTTTCTAGGTCAGTCATGATATTTATTTTATATGATGCCTGTAAAATAGTTGAACAAATATTTATACATACAAAATTTGTTGATAGTTATTTTGTATCTATTATTATTTAAAAAATTAAAAATTATTTGTTTCATAACATAGGTATAATGTATATGATATAATTATGTTAAAACAAATGTCTCAAAAGTTCCTTATCACCATAAATAACACTGTGAGTTGCAATACCATAGAATAAAATTCTGGAATTCAAACAAGAATCTAAAAGAAAATTATAATTTAATGGCATACATTTTTCATCTATCACTTTTAGAAAAATAGCATTTACTATATATTGATTTATATATTTATGGTTAAGGTTATACTGGAATTTTGAAATACACTTTATACATAAATAAAAGATTACAAATTTAGGTTGCAAAAAATTATAATAAGAAAATAAAAAATGATACAATATGTTAAATTGAATTTAATTTATATGTTTATTGGGAAGTTAATAGTACATCTAGAGATAATATATTAATACCTGTATGATTAAAATTGTGTAGGAAAACTGTTTTTGGAAAGTTGGTTAACATAGTTTATTATAGTTTATGATGTAGTGTGAATATTTTAATGCAATAGATACATGACTTATTTTCTCACTTTTACCATGATCTAAGTATGTTCAGTTAAAGCATAAGCATACAGTTTCCACATTTTTAGGGCCCTTCATAAATCTATACCAGAAAAAAAATATATTTTTCAATGCTTTAAACAAATTTGAAATAGTGAACTTTCAATTTTTGCTCTTCAGACAAATAAAAACTTTACATTTTTGCAAAACAAAAATCACTCTGTCATTAATAGCAATTAATTATAACATTACAAAACATTAATAAATTAATGTTGAATTATTAAAGTAAGAAAAAAATGTATATAGTAGTCTGTAAACTTTGAAAAAAATCATTGTAATTTATGTATTAAACTTGTATTTGGTAATTAGCTGTACATTTTAATTTATATTTAAAATTTAAAATTTTAATAATCAGTAAGGTACATAAATAAAAATCATGTAATATAAAAATAAAAATATAGTTAATTATTTTATAGAAAACCGGTTAAATATTTTGTATTTTTATTTCATTTTAACTTGTATTAAGTTTTTACCAACATTTTTTATTAAAAATAATCCAAACTAAATACAGTGCACAGTTTCTACTTTTTTTTTATTAAATCAAGCCATGAATTTACAAAAAAAAAAAATAATAAAAAAAAAATGAATAAATGTTTACCAACTTTCTGATTAATACACGATATATTGATTTACATAATTAAAAAATTTGGGGGAATATTTTTGACAAAATTACTAGTTAGTACTTTAATCAAAACTTGCATTATCTATATATTAATTGCTTAAGTCAGATATGTATATATAGACTTATTTCATAAATTTTTTTAATAATTATGTTTTTTTAAAATTATTTTCTAAGAGCCATTACTATGTACTTAATAGTCACAATTTCTAATTTAACCAAATCAAATAATTAATTCCTGTGCAGGTTGATAGACAATAGTATATCTTGTAACTTTTAAGTGAAATACAATTTGACAAAAGTGTGAAATAGATGTGGTTGCCGCTTAAGTGACAATATCCCATAAATTATATTAAAATAAACATAGACTATGTAGAAATGTATTACATATTGTACTGTTACAATATAGGTTATACATTAATATATTTAAGCATCAAACATTTTCATGATAAAAACTTCCACATATATGATTAATTTTTATTAATAATATTAGTAGTTAGCTCAATTTACACTTACCTAATTGCAACAAATTGATGATTGTTATTTTTAGTTACTTCTTAGTGCGAGTACAGGAAAATAGAATTTGAAAACTGGATCACATCAATTTAACCGAATTTTTCTATTGAAATATAATTGTTTAGGAATATTGATAATCATTAATGTTTTATACTTTTATAGAATAAAAAGATTATTAACTATTTTTACTTCAGTGATTGTTTTAATAGCGTGAATAGTTAAATAGCAATACTTTAATACTGGAAATACTAAATTAAACGTAGATATTGATTATGAACACATTAACACATAAAAATATTATGATTAACACGAAGTCAAAACGGAAAGATTCAAGTTGAAAATTCAAAATCAAAACTCAATATAATTTAGGTTAGGTATAAACTTTACAATTTACATTTCTAATATTATTAATAATAATAACTGTTAGGTATTGTGTTATTTGTAAAATCTCATATAAAAATAATTATAAAAATAAACCAACTCGGACTCCACGAAAACATTGAGTACAGTGTAACCAACAATGTATAGTTAGAAGATATTTTATATTAATCAAAATTTTTTCTACATGGCTATACAAGGTACAATTTTGAATTAATTGACTAGGTATATTGTATCATAGTTAATATAATATGATGTGAATAATCGAAAATTATAAAATTATAAAATAATAATTTTAAATTAATTAATAATATATAAGCTACGATATATATAAGCATACGATACACGTATGATGTATAAACTATTCGAGTATTGATGTTCATGTTTCATCTAATACATTATACATAATGATTACAATTTTACTTTTACAAGTTAACAATTTTTATAGCTTATATTTCTATATCATACATTCATACCTATCATGGGCCCATGGCTGTAGGTATCAATCGTACACAGTACACACACTCACGCTGGCCACTCAGTCACTACCGTCGGTTTAATTGTTTTTGTGTTTACTGTTTAGTAGTGTTTTAAAAATGTCAGACAAAAAGCGTAAAATTGATGACGAACATTACCGACGGGGGGTCATTTCTGATTTTTTTTTAGGTGTGCGATGTTTTAAACAGGCCATACCAAAATAGATACCTACCTACACGTATATATGTAAATTATCCTGCATTAAATTATTTCCGAATTCTTACGTCGATGTAAATAGAAAAAATCAATTTAAAAACGAAAATATAGTAAATAATTAAAATCATAATAATTGATAGTACCTATACCAATATTGATGAATGTCAAAATTAAAATTAATACCTATATCATTTAAGAAGATTTAATTTTGAACATTATCTCAGCAGGGCGTGGGCCAATTAGTACTATTTTTGAAAGTAAAGAGTGCAACCACACACTTCTTGATCCCTCCAAATGATGCGTTTGCATATAGGTACGTTTTTTTTTATGAAAACCAGATTTGATGCGATTTGTAGGTGAATGAATAGGTTTTGAATTTCGTAAATTTATAATCGTCACGAGAAGAGATGCCAGAAAATAATGAACATAAAAAGAAGTAAAAATATACAATTTTTTCTGTTACGGCCCACGTGTCACTTGTTGAGTTTTTTTTGATAAGAGCCCAATAATTTATATTTTTTATGGATGGGCAATGGGCATAGATCAATTGCATCTAAAACTAAGTTTTTGTGTAGGACAGTGTATATCAATTGCGCTTGTATTCAAATTTGTCAACCTTCAGTTATGAAAATATTGTTATTCAGTCTAATTCCATCAACATCAACATAAACAATTTACACACTAAAATGTTTGAAAACTAAAAACTTAATTATTTATCATTTAATTACTGGTTTAAATGACTGGTTGTAATATATATTATAACAGTATCGGGAATTTTATGAAACATTATTGTTATTATTACGTACATTTGATCATGCAAGTATGAATTTGACTTGAGTGATAGACGAAAACAAGTTTTCATTATCATCGGATATTTATCAGCTTAATAATTATTGTTTCGTTGTACACAACTACACAATATATTGTATCATATAGAATAACACATTGATGATAGCAGATACTTATATCTTGTTGTTTAGTACCTATTAGTTTGAGTTGTTTGACATGTTATGGGCTACGAGATATACTAATAATATAAATATATATAATATAATGTGTAATATTTCTATAGGTGTTGGCAATAGTAATATAAATATATATGTGATCTAATAATTATAATGTATACGAAATATTAGATTCATATTTTGTAAAAACATCATAATAAATCAAAATAGTAGTTGTTAGGCGAGGTCGTTTTGCATTTCCAAGAACTGCCAGTAAGGACGATAACATCCTGGAGATTGTTGTTTCAAATGTGAAAACAATTCCAAGAACTAATCTAAATTGGAAGGTTGACGATTACAACAACAAGAGATTTTCTTGTATTATAAGGGAGTCCGAAGACCAACAGGGGCAGATGTACCAGAGCTACGAAGACCTGAGCAACTTTTCGACACTCAGCCACTTTTTGTAACAGTTACATGTACTTCATTTATGCAGATTAAAACATTATTGTATTTAAGAGTTGTAAATTTCATTTTAATAACACCCTGGATCTGGATCTGATATTGGTACGCAACAGACATTACAATATGGATTTTTTTAAGCAAGTATTTTAGTGAAAAAGTTTAACCGTTGTTACTTTTCGATGATTTTAAGTTTCAAAAATGTATTAAATCAAAAAATAGAATTATGAATGGAGGTGTACTGCAGTTAAATTGTGTTCTTCGAATTTATTACCTAATGAAAGTGAAACGGTGCTTTTAAAATCCAATTTAAATCATAACCATAAAGCAAGTGTAAATATTTACAGACAAGTTTTTGCTAATTATTTAGAAAAAAAAAACACCAGAACAAATTACAACACGACCAGTAAAATTAATTTGTAATAAAGTGCAATCAAGTGCGTTAGATTTGACATTAAATGATGTGCATTCTATACGACGAAGCGTTTATCGTGTTCGTAGAAAAAACATTACCGCCATTACTGAAAAATATAACCGAAGTGTATACACCATTAAATATTTAGATAGGTACGAATATATTCAAGGGTGAGAATTTATTGCTTTTAAACGACAATATTTTGAATACCTATAATAGGTTTTTCTACAGAAACAAATTTAGAATTTTTATGTAGTTGTGTCAAAATATTTGTCGATGTAATTTTTGAATTTTGTTCTAAATATTTGTATTAACATTTTACAATATATGGTTTGAAAAATGAGCACCATGATACTATATTGAATATTCTATTAATATTTTCTTTACTGCCAAACAAGTTATTTAGCACCTACACACCAATATGAATTTTGAGTTTTGACTAATATTATATGCAACGTTCAATCTTGATTTTAATCCAATAATAGTTGTTGCTGATTTCGAACAAGTAGTCATTGATTTTACAATTAAACAAGTTTGGCTTTCAATATTCAGTGTTGAGTACTATACTAGTAGGATGTAGATTTCATTTAAGCTTGACAGAGCGATATTCAAAGTTGTGGACTACAAACAAAGTATAAAAACCTTAATTCTAAAATTAAAAAAAATGGCTGCATTTAATTTTTGGTTTGTCATTTTTTTCACACGAAGAAGCGGAGGGTATTTGTAGAAAAAATAATTACGATTCAACCATTACTTCAAATCTTACCGAATCTGCTGACTAAACTGTTGAAAATTAAATTTCATTTAATTCTACGTTTCCTTTGATACTGTGTGTGTCTACTTTTAGATAAGTTCTGAACGTACAACTAATGCAGTGGAGCTTTACACGCTTCATTTTCTTCAAACTTTTATTCTTCCCATTCAAATATTTTTGTCTTTGTTAAAGTAGTCACCGAAAGTTTCAAAACGATTACCACGTTTATTGCAATAAATAGTACAGAATAGGTAAAATAAATATATTTCATATAGAACACATATTTAACAAAAAAAAATTATCAATCAATTTTATTATTGAAATAGAATTTTTAGTCAGTGGATTATTAAATATTAGATATAATTGTAAAATAGTTTGAATGTGAATAATAATGTAACTGGTATAACTTTAGTTTTGAATAATTGACTATCAAAAAGTTTAAATGTGAAGAAAAAATATTTATTTATTTATGTCATCTTATGTATTAATACTCACAAAAACAATAAAATTAGTGTATTCATTTATTATATAATAAATTATAGCTAACTAATAAGTTTTCCTTAGGTATTGTAAAATGTTTTGAACGTCATTAGTCTATCGACCTTACAATATTTAGAGCGCAATAATTGATATATAAAAAAGTAACTCCTGATTATCTAACCTAGTTCATACAGCTTATTACTGTTTATGTAGGAACTATTATGTTGTAGAGATGTTACCGGCAATATAGACAATTCAGGTATTTTGCAAACTACCTAGGCTTTATGCATATTGCTGACCCATTTTAGGCAATATAAATAAAACATATAATGTTTAATATTATTTTACATATAACCTAAGTATTTTATAAAATACCTAGGCATTATGTAAAATGCCAATTTCTTTTTAGGCAAAGTAACAAACAATTTTTCATAATCTGTTAAAACATTATATTAATTTTTAATTTTTATCTATTACTATATTTTCATACATTGATATTATTATTATTATTGTATTATATTATTTTATTAAGTAATATTATTTATACATTTTACTTAAACTAATAGCTACTTATTACAACATGTTGTAGAAAAATGACATTTTGAAGTGCACAAAACATTATTTTTAAGGCAAATGCACTTTTTATTTTGGCACTTGGTCTTACAAATACATTTAAAAAATCCTTGGCCAGTTCCTGTGGACTGTTCCTTTGCGACTGTTCGTAATGCCACTTCTGTCTCTATTGGAACCTCGTCAATTTGTAGTAGCTTTTTCTGACATACTGTAAACTGACTTCTGGCATATAACTGCTTCAGAACTCCATCCCGAGTTCCTAATCGATAAAAACCATCACTTGTCACCTAAAAAAAATAAAATATCTTATAGTTATTATTATTAAATGCATAATTTTTAAACTTATTTATTACTTCTAAAACAATTGCCAGTATACTTCTTGCATCTAAACGTCCTTTATCTACCTCAGGAACTGGAACACGTACAGTTGAATGAATTGCCACCGGTAATAGCTTCTTATCCGACCACGCCATCATTTTTTTTGCTTGATTTTCAAGATTTTCCTTGGCTTTAGTTCGCATGACATTGGCGTTTTCGTTATTTAATTTGATAGTTGTAGCTAATTGTTGTTCTGTATGTAATGCTTCATTTTCGATGTTTTGTGGTTGTTCTGTAATTTTTTCTGTTTCTGTTACTTCATTTTCAATATTTTATCTTTATAAATTATAATAGATTGATTGAAAATAATAGATTTTTATTATTAATTAATTTGTAAATTTTAAATAAATAAAAAACAATCCTTGCAAAAAACCGCGCTCTAGTAATAGTCGATACCCAATTTTGTTTATTTTGATCATATTTCCTATTTCACTTCTGGCATTATACATAATACCTAGGCAAAGTTCGTATTGTGCATATTTCCGAGTGATTTTTGGCATTTTATATAATGCCTAGGCATTTCACAAAACACCGGATTATCCATACTGCCGGTAACAGAGACAATGCATAAACATATACATTTTATAAGATATTATATTTGTATAATTATCTTACGCTATTTAGTTATAATTTGTAATATTCATGTAAAACTTACACAATCTCGCATAAAATGTTAGTCTTAAAACTTATACCCTAAATATAATTATGTAATACTCTGATAGTCTAACACGTATACACGATACAAGTAGGTATTATGTTATATTTATTTATAAACCGTGTATATTGTATATCTACACTTAACCAAAGATATATTAAGAAATTTGGTGTCGAGGTGTTAATATTTTTCTGACCTTTCTCAAACCATAAAAAATTGATGATTTTTTTTCATAATTAATAAAAAGTCAATTATCAAATAATACAGTAGAGTATTAGGTACTTTTAATCTAACGAAGGCAGACACCTAATTTCCATTTGCCATCTATTGACTACTTATGGCATTTATAATTTTATTAATTGGCTTAACAATATTAGGATATCTTTCTCTTGGCTATCAGTCAATTTTATTTTGTGGCGAAGAAAAATTAGTTTACAATCTATCAAATTTTAGTTACAAATACTAAAAAATGAGTTGCAAAATATTGTCACTGATTTGGAATCGAATTGTTGGTTTTTTTAGAGAGGGAAGGGCTTTAAGGACGTTGTAGCATAACGGTTTAAATTAAGACCGTTATACATTTTTTTTGAGGACGAAATTAATATCTATTTTATTCTCTCGTAAGCTCTAAGTCTTGGGTATTTATAAGGTGTACCATCGGGATAGAATATGTGACGTTAAATATAATGTTTGGGGATGAAATATTTAAAACTGTCATAATTCGTGTACGGCTATATACGAGTATGTTTACATAATATAAATACCATGTATCCAATTGTTAAACATCTGAAGTAAAAAAACCCGGATCAACGGATTACTAGCCATCTCGTGTGCTATGGTTGTCTGCGTTTATCATAATGCAAAATGTCTGGATGGGAACTCTGTGTGGTCGACGTGGCCTTGGTATGTATACATTTGTTAATATGTTTGCCGACAAGCTTGTTGAACATACGTTAAATACGGGGATTTTTTTAATTTTTTTTATTATGCAGTGGTAAATTTAACTCAAAGTGTAATTATAATGGGCTAGTATAGTAAAATGGATTTTCACATGAAAGTTATACCGCGAATACTGATGCTGTATAATTAATTATTTACAATTCTATAGTTAAGCATTTACGTCATATGTATTATTGATAATATATACATGGTGCACTTTTATATAAACGTGTATTTTATGAATTTTTTAAGAATCCATACTTGGAATTATGTTTTTAATATTACTTTATGCTAATATAAATTATAACGATTTAAAAATGTATTAAAAAATACTTATTGTAAACAAAATATAGTACAATTGTACGTTGTGTGCACTCTTATGCCATTTAATCATCGATTTATCAATATTCAATACATATGTATTATTATAATTTAAGTATACCTAATAAATTTCAACTATATTTTTGAACATACTTATGTTTCTAACAATAATTGTTTTATTATATATTGTACTTAAATAACAAGGACTAATTCTGCATATGTATATTATATTATTAATAACTAGTCTGTGTTTTTAAAACGAAGTCGTCATCGTTTCAATTTACAATAAATTGGTTTTGAATCGCTGAAATGTTAGTATATTTCGTGACGTATGTCAATATCGATATGTATAAATACTTTTTATTATTCTTAATATTATTTTACATTACCTTTGTTTCATATAATTTATACAAATGTATTATTGAATCTATTGCTATAAACTATAAAGTATGTTATAACACTTATAACTGTTGTAATATCATAACCAAAAATGTAAAAGTATCGTATTTTATTTTTATAGTACCTATGGTATTTAAAAAAAAAATTTTTTTTTTGTCGTAATTATTTTTTGTTTTTTGTTGTATACTATAAAAACATCACCGTGGTAACAATGTTCTAGAGCAGTGCAGTATAGTCTATAGACGGTATGCGTAATATATCCATTATGGGTAACCCAAAGTAGATAGTGTTCACAGATGAGCCCGAGGTGCTTTTGAGAAGATAAGACATTGCGGCCGGTTTTTATTCACAATTTATTCTGTGAAGCAGCACGTAAATACTCATACTTAAGTAAAATATAGTGATAATAAGACTGTAGGCTGTAAGGAAGTTTTGAAACAATTATTTTTAATGAGACGAATCTTAATATTTTTACACTTTGTAGGTACTGAATAATATGGTAACAATTATAATTTTAATAATAAAATATTATTCATAGGTATACTGCTGTTTTAAATTACATGATAAGATATCGTATTTTATTTATTTGACATTTACATTATTTAAAACTAATGCATTTACATTATATATTAACACTATTATGTCTACGTGCAATCGGTGTTTATATTTAATATAATATATATAATTTTCCATACTGCTTCCGCGCGTTCGTTCATGTAGGTACCTACAGCTAGTACAATATTATTTTGTGTTATACCTATGGTGAAAGTAATACAAGTACTATATAGTATGTTATATTCAGTTTAAGAGTGCACCGGCGGCGGACGAAAACTCATCGTATCCTTGCATATCTCCCCACTACTGGTTATCGGTGTTGGTATATCCACCCATCGATCATCCCCACCACTACAACCATCACCTGTTCACCACCACGCCACCGTATGACGATGGAATACGGTTATATAGTAACGATTATTACCGACGATCAATCAGAGGGGTCCGGCAACGTACTTACGTACAGCAGTCAGTAGCATATGCGCAAACCGATGTACTCTTAAATTGAACAGTGTATATTAATGTTCTTAGTGAAAGGTGTGTGTGTGTGTGTGTGTGATAGGAGAATTAATAAAATAAAAAAAAAACTAACTTAAATAGCAGAAAAAAATAGCTTAATTAAATAAATACAAAGCTAATGTCTGTTGTATGTATATGGATAATATAATAAAGGTGGATTTCCCGACAGCTTATAAGCAAACCAATGAGTAAAAAATAAAGAAAAACCATTTTTTTAATGTTGTATCAAAATATACTCCTCAAATGATGAGTTCCAACTCGTAATCATATATGTTTTCTATATTATTTTATCAATATTTTAACCTTTTAACACAGTGTAGGTATATTATTAAACAATTTTCACTTTTATAAACTTTTATAAAAATAAAATTATCGTCAAGATAATTCAGATACAAGAAATATTGTTGTAATAGTAATATCAATGGTTATTTATTAGACCCAAAAGACATCTTTAAATTATAAACATTTGAAGTTTAATTGATCTTGAAAATCTATTGTTTTAGCCCACATTAATTAAATAAACTGATTTTAGCAATTGAATACAAATAATACAATTTACTGTCATAACTTTTAAGTGAAATGAATCAGAAACAGTATGAATGAGTCACTAATAGCTAGGGTGGATGAGTATATTTTTATAACATTTGAAAGCAGTGAAAATAAATAAAAAACGATTCTGACTAAAGAAAAATGGTCAAGATTTTGTAATTATATATTTGATGCAGATATTCACAATAACTGTGTATATTAAATTAATTTTTTTCGATGTTTATAAAAAAAATAGTATGTAACTTTTTATGTGGTTTTACCAGAAACAGTAAAAATATATTTAACAAAATACAAAAAAATAAATGTTATCTTCCGTAGAATTAATTTATGGTTTGTATAGAATCTAAAAGTTTTGAGCCTTATTCTTTGTTTAGTGTAGTAAATTATACATATAAATAATGCTAGAAGTTTTAAGTTTATATGTTTTTAAACATTTGAAAATCGCAATAGCTATGGATATTTTCGACAAATTACGATTACTAGCTACTAGCTAGGTTACAAAATGCTAGGATTTATTAATCATACCAGTAAATACTGAAAAGTATAATTTTCATTTGGTATTAAATATTGTAGTACCTAAAGGATGTAAAAATCATTAAAGTAAAATCCATGCATAAAAAAAAACCAACATGATTTTTACTAATAATTAAAAATTAAAAAATAGGTTATATACAAATTAAATTATAAATTTGTTTATCAACACATTTTATTATTTTTGAAGGTTATAAATTAATAATTATACACTATTAAAACAAATAAAATCTACTATACTAAAGATATTTGTATATACTATACATATTTACACTATATTGATCTAAATATTATTGTTAACATTTTTTCGATATTTATAAAAATAAAGTAACTTAATTATAATTTAATTTCAACTTTAAATTTTTAAATGATAGGTAGCTCATGTTTTTAATTTTATGATATTAAGTTGAATAATCTTAATAATATTTAAAAATTACGAAAATTTAAAGTTTGGATAATAATATAAGGAGTGAAATACATATATCATGTGCAATTCGTATTTCGTGGTGCACTATTCACGTTGTTATGCATCTAAAGCCTAAACTGTTAATAAATATCGTTTGAAATTTGATATTTTGTTAACGTCAACATTTTTAAAAAATATGTTTTATTTTAGATAATATAATTAAATACATAGATAGCCATTTAAAAATTAATAATGGGTTTATTAAAAAAAATAAAATATTCGGGTTTAATTACAGTTGTATAAGATATGTAATTATCAAGTAGATATCTTAATTTATCCAATAAAAGATTTTTAAACATTGTAACTTATGAAATAATGAGTTCTCACTATTAAAATAATTGGCTTAAAACAAGCAATTAAATTGATTTTCTTATTTTGTCGATTGTTAATGATAATTAAAAAGGGAATATAAATGTAATTTTTTATCTACCGATTCAGTGTATAGTCAATATATTGTTTAATAATAGAAGTTTAGATTAAGAGTATGTCGATACGCGTGTAAATGTTTATTTTTTGATAAATAATAACTTATGTTTTAATAGCTAAGAATAAATCAAGTATTTTTAATACATATTGATCAATAATTATCTCTATTAAATAATTAAAAACATACAAAATTAAAGTAGATGATACAAATATGAAATAGTATATTTTATTTAAACATTATAAAGGACAACGTAGGTAGTAGTTATTTTTAAAGTTTATTTTATTACTGTACACATTGAATATAGTTGATTATATAAATAAATAAATAATAATTATAATAATAATAGTAATAATAATATTAATATAAATATATAAATTAAATTTATGAGAGTTAATAATATTTTTAATTTATTTTTTATTAAGATTTGGCAGCCGGAACATTGTATGCTTAATTGTTTAAAAAAAAACTAATGATAAATTATGTTATAACTTTTTAAACTTATTTTTCATAAGTTAACTAAGATGTTCTTGTATTTAAAAATCTAGGATTTAATTTTTTATTTATAATTATTAACTGTTTTATAAAAATGTTACAGAAATACAGAATAATGAATTCATTCATACTAAGAAAATTAATTTTCAAAGAAGTTTTTTTATAACTAAAATTAAGTTTGTGATTTATTTATTTTTTTAATTTTAAATTAATGATTCATTTTAATTTAGTTAGTCTTGGAAAATTGTATATTATCTGGATATAATATAAGACGTCTATTATTTTTTACACAGTTTCTGAAAAGGCCGAGTGTATAAAAGAATATAATATTCTATTATTGGTTAAAAAAGACTTGTTCCAAAAAAAAAAAAAAAAAATATAGACCTATATAGAACCTACAAAGACAATATTTCTAAAATGATTTACTACTTCGTTAATTACTTACATTATACTCTAAAAGATCCTATTCAAAGTATTAAACGTAGATAATGTATTATGATTTATGACTTTATAAAGAGAAAAGATATCATATGAATTGGGGAAAATTACTTTTTTTTACCTTATTTTAATACCAACTCATTAATGGTTAATGGTGATTTGATATACTTTTAAACTTATATTAATACT